TTTTATGGGGATACTTGAAAAACGAGGTATACCGTACTCCAGAATATTGAAGAATTGCATGACCGAATCATAGTGGCTGCCGATAATTTGAGACTTCAGATACAGCAGGAAGAAGGTCTATTTGACTTAGTGCGCCGAAATTGGGTTAGAGGCGCCCAAGCTTGCATTGCAGTCAATGGAAACAATTTTGAACATTTTGTAAGTGAACTGTTACACTGTATTATTTTATTATTTCGATTTCTGTAGGGCTTTTATTACATTTTTTTTTGAGAACCCATCTTCTTTCGTAACAGTGCATATGTTGTTAAAATTTGTTGGATATGTTGTGAAACAACCTGTATACGGCTAATGCAGGGTTCCCGACTATTCGTGGATGCCATTTTCTCGTTTCCAGAGTAGTAATCACTTCTGACCCTGTTTCGAATGTCATAAAAATAGGTACTTTTCAATATTTAGAGACTGGGGACTGGGTCACTCGCGCTCCCACGGGAGGGGGGGGGTAAAGCGGGTAATTACCCCCTCCCAGACGACTCGAGCAGTCTTTGAAAAGGTGGTATAAAGTAAACGTCTTATAAAAAAATCTGTAACTGTAAGAAAGGATAGCCGCAACACTGTCAACCCGCTGAGTGCGCATGCGACTAGCGACTACTCTCCCACCAACAGCAACGGTGTACGCTTCTTGCTGTTGGAACAGGTATAGTCTAGTCTTTTATGGTCTACTTCTAGTGTCTAAATTTTGTACCAGTCCGGAGTTTTGTTGTTCTGGTTGGTATTAACGCTATTTTCTATGTTCTTGATTTTTTATTTTCCACGCATAAGCCAGAAAATTATTTTTTGTTTGTTTTTAATTTTTATACTATAAAAGAATCGTGTCTAAAAACATTACAGACGGAAAAATGGAAATATAATATAATTTCAATTACGAAGTGTTTTGTCCATACTCCAGCTATCATTATCATCTATGTCTATTTTGTCTCAGAAGGCCCTGTATATAAGCACTTCAGTGCATTTCGTTCGTCCGATATGGCAAATTATATATTTAGTTTTTGAAAATTGCGTAAACTTAAGAAATCTTGTTTTCCAAACATAAAAGGTTCTTTGTTATGCGATACGTGAATGCGTGGAAACCAATAATGCCGTTTATTTGACAGTATTTGTGTAACTTTTAGTGCTGGTTGACGGCTGCTTTTAGGATGAGTAAAAGGAAACAGAATACCATCGATTGGTTCCTTTCTAAACAAAACAAACTGTCTGATCCACCGGCACAAGAATTACCGAAAAAAACTGATGATAATCCTACAATTCAACCTGAGCCTTCCACTTTCTTGATGTTGCACCATATGCTGAACCAAGTGTTGAATAATCGGGTTCCGAAATCTAAAGGATCCAACCTTGTTGATGTTGCGCCATATGTAAATTTCAGCGGCAACTTGTCTTACCATGAAAAATATACCTTATTGAGGTGTGAAATGATCCCTAACGACTCTTTCAAATACCCCTTTCCACACACTTGAAAAATAATAAAGAAATGAAATGTTATTTATCAAAAAAACACATTGAGAAATGTCCTTGGCTGTCATATTCAGAGGAACTACAAGGGCTTTTCTGTACCTATATATTGCGTGGTTTTTGCAAAATTAGGAGGAGTACATAAATCAACTAAATTGGGAAAACTTGTTACCGTACCACTAAAGAAATTTTCGAAATTTTATGGCTAAGCCGGTGATTGTGAGACACATGAGAATCCAATATATCATACAGAATCAGTTTTAGATACTACAAACTTTTTAAAGATTTACGAAAATCCAGAGAATGATATAAGAAATATAATAGGTACAGAGCGAATTAGGCAAGTATCAGAAAATCGACAAAGATCGACTCCTATAATAGGTCGTCAAAATATACCACTTAGAGGGGATAGAGATAGGCGACGACTTTTTTCTAATGACAGCACGAATGACGAGGATGTCCTTAATAATGAAGGGAATTTTAGAGAACTAATACGGTTTAGAATCGAGAGCGGCGACAATTTATTGAAAAAAAGAATTAGAGAACTCAAAAGCGCATGCTACGTACATAAGCAGCCGCATCTAAAATGAAATTATAGAATGTTGTAGCGAAGAAATCTTGGATATAGTTTTAAGTCGCGTTTGGCAAAGACAGGTCAAATTCTTGCTCAAACAGTCAAACATTTCATTAAAACCAATAACTTAGACTCAAAACTATGTGTGGGCACTGGTACTGATACGTGTAACCTAATGTTAGGTGAACAAAAGGGCGCTCTAATGGAATTGCAAAAATGTTTTCCAAATGCTCTTAAAAGCCCATGCGCAAATCATGCCTTGAATCTTTCGATTTCAAAAAGCAGCAGTGTCCAAGTAGTAAGAAATACTGTAGGTATAATGAAGGAAGTAATTGCGTTCTTCAAAGCATCTGCTAAAAGAAATACAGTATTAAAAAGAAAACTAGACGAATATCAAATTCATAGTATGTGCGAAATACGATAGACCGCGAGACATGAGATTCTGTGCTCCAATTTGGAAGCAAATTCGAGAAAATTGTAGAGGTACTAAGTATTATATCAAATTGGAAAGACCGCGAAGCTTCTTCAAAAGCGGAGTCCTTGAAGACTGCCATTACTTCCACCCAATTTATCGTATCACTAAAGTGTTTGTGTGATATATTAGCTTTAACAGTCAACCTGAGTAAGATTTTGCAATCAAAAACAATTGACAAACAATACGCTGTCAAACTCATAGGAAATATTATTTCAGTTGTACAAGAAAGACGCGCAAATTCCGAAAAACACTTTAGAATACTATTCGCATCTATAATGAAATCACATGAAACCCTGGGTATTGAACTGACTGTGCCAAGAATAACAAGCAGGCAAATGAACAGACCGAACATAGTTACGTCTGACAAGAAAATCATTACAGACTGAACCTACATGTCCCTTTGCTAGATAATATATTACAGGATTTGGTATACCGGTTCAATGAAGAATCATTGAATATATACAGTTTTAATATTTTCTTTGCGTCAGTATTTAATTCGAAAACTGAAGCTGATGTAATGGACATATTAAAAACAATCTTTAAATATTTGCGTGGACTAAATAGTAACGAAAACAAAAATTTATAGAGTACCAGATTAAAAGCAGAATTTGTCCTTTGGAAGTCACGTACACAAGATACATATTATAGACAGTGGAATGTCACTGTATTTATCATGTGATGAAAACATTTTTCCTTCAATTAATAGATGCCTACAATTATTGATTTCATTGCCGGTAAGTTTTGCGACATCTGAAAGAAGTTTCTCCCATCTAAAGTGGATAAAAACTTGGCTGCGCTCCACTATGTTACAAGAGCGATAAGTGGCTTTAGCTCTTTTGTATATGCATAGGGATACTAAAATTGACGTGAATACAATCATAGATCGGTTCGCCAGCAAAAAGAATAGGCGCCTTGATCCTTGATAACACCTGAACTTTGCCTAAGGTTGTCTCTCAAATCCAGCCCTTCTGTTGGCCAATAAATAAAAAAGCAGATGTAGTTAAGGGTTTACTTACGTTTAAACCACCACGGTGATCTTTTTCAAGGTATCCAATCAAGATATGTGGTTTTATTTATTGGCCAGCAGATTGATATAAAAGTCTGTTCAAATTCTGTTCAAATCACTTTCTAAGCTAATGTAATGATTGTTTTATTTTGAAACTGTGAACTGATGTAGTTTGGCTAAGAGAATGTAGTTATACAATGCATATTTTTTGTATTATTATTGATTTACAGTCAGTTTTATACTTTATAGAAGTCGTAACATATTTGTTATTCTTATTTTTTTATGAAGATGTATTTTTTGTTGTTTTGTCCGACATTGTTATGTAGAAAAGTCTGTGATAGATTATATTATTTTGCATTTTTGTTTTACTTTATGAAGATTGCTCGAGCTTCGTTTGTTTTATTTACATTTTGATTTCGTATAATTCAAAATAAAAAAAATTGTATGTATTTTCTACAGAAGTTACTGTAACAAATTCATATGTCTGCATATGTTCATGCTTTTAATGTTAAATCATTATAACACTTCAGTACGTCTGAGAATTTACTTTCCATTTTACCCCTCCCAGACTGAAATCCTGGGAGCGCCACTGGACTGGGTACTCTTTCAAAGTTTCTAAATAAATTCTTCAAACATCCATTCACAAATTCCCAAAGCATTTTAATGGATATTGTTATTGTAAGCTTCTGTTTTTTGATAGTTGCTTAAGCCCGCGATCAGTGTATATTCTGCGTAAGCGGAGCGAACAAAAATTCTCTTGCAATTTGCTTAAAAAATTGTTTCAAGTAATTTTCGATGCAATTTAGGTCATGGCGGAGTGAGATTATGTGAAAAAGAAACGATAGGAATATTCTCCCGAGCAATTTACTACCTTGATTGTCCATAGCTTACATAGATAGATGTGAGCTTTTTATAGTCAGTCTCAGGTAGGAAAGCTCGTTAGAATTGCACTATTAGCCAAAGCAACATTTTCGAAATATGATGTACACAAGTCATGCACTCTATAATGGTAAACAAAGGGTAATGTTCTCAGTATTTCATTATGATTGGTAGCTTCGTTTTAAATATTCTGGCGAAGTATTGGTCTCATTTCATTATTTAGATGAAAGCACTGCGTTTAACGCAAATCACAAGCAAGGTCCGTGCGAAAATGAAAAATTGTCTGAAAGGCATGCCGGTAAGTTTCCAAATCAAGTTGGATATCATCTTGAGACAGAAACTCTTTGCGAGATGAAAACAAAAAGCAATGAAAATCGAACTTTACTGACGCACGGAAATAATATTGCTAATGACGTATATTTTTGTGGAAGTTACCGTCTCTTTATTATGGACTGCAGATTTTCTCACTGTCCACCCAAGGCCAACAAGAACTTGATCTAGAAGGCTATCACTTTTCCAAGCATTTATATAATGGTTACGTACATATTTGCTAATAACAGTTTACTGCGGTTCATTATCAGTTCCTCTTGTTTTAGGAAAAACCACAGATGAATTATTAGTATATTTATATTAGTTATATTTATGGAATATTCCATAGGCTCATGAAACTGATCTATAAATTTTGTTCTTTTATATCTCTTATAATAATCACTTATCACAATCCACCTGGTAATGAACGTGTATTTAAAAATATCCTTGTAGTTTCCTCGTTCAGGAATATTTTTTTTTGTTTTAACGACCTTACTACACTGAATTACCGACTATTAAACTGATGCAATTTCTTTGGCATATTACTATGTTGTTTTTCAAAGTATAAAAATACCTATATAAGCTGAAGAAAATCCATTGGTTACGCTTCAGTTGTTTGTGAGTGGTGCATCTAAATTCCAAAAATGAAGACCAAGGACTTCACAGGAATACCTATAGAGGTTATCAGAGACGTATGTATTATTTACCACTTTTCATTTAAGTAATTATTATTAATTTAGGGTGTTGGTGAATGCTCACAACTTGGTCAGCATTTTGTACCATTGAGAGACTTGCCTTAAGTAGAAAAATAGGGACTTGCCCAAGGGTATTTGAAGTATTTGCAGTTTAGATAAAATTCATTTTTACGAGCACGAATATGTTGTCACATTTCGCTGAGATTGACAGGAAGCCTCAGAAATCCTATTTCTCAAGGAGGGCTTCGGGACATTTTAGGATGTATTGGTTGCCATATTCAAAATCAGCATCCAAAATTACCCCAGTGCAGGGTTTTGATAACTTGTCGGCATGGAGGACGAGAGTGGAAATTTTACATAGCGAAATATCACCGTGTGAAAGCGCATTGAGAAAATGTTCAAAAATTCCTGGACATCCACAAACTTAATCAAAACCCGTTTTTGGGTAAATCGGATAAGTAGTTACGAATCTCAAGATTCTAGCTGAGATCGTTGAGAGCCCCAATTGCTCTATTTTCTTACCCTGAAAAAACATTTTATGATTTTTTGATGACCATATTCAAAATCAGCACCCTAAGTTAGCTTGATGCGCCAAGCTATTCACTTAATACGAGGTTGATTTTTTTTCTAGAAAATGACTCATATTTCAAGCAGATCACATCTATGAAATGCTTGCATTTAACAATAGCTTGCACTGTGGGAGGGAGAAAACCCCTTCATATATAACGAATTACACTACAAACAGTTTTTAATTAGCTTTTGTGAAATGACAAATATGAATATCTCAAAAGAGCATGTCTGTCCTTTGACTGCAAAAGTTCCTGTCTGATACGAATTCCCCAAAGATTTAATTTGGCTTTTGGCTATTGGCACCACTGTCTTTTACGCATATTTAATTTTCGCGAAACATTGCCCCATAAAGTCCTTAATAGCAGTCAAATTTACTAACAGGATTCAGAATATTCCAGTATAATACTGGAACCGGTTATCATAATCAACATTCTTGTTTATAAGCAGTTATGCAAATTTTACGTATTTTTCCAATATATGTATACAAAAATATACTTTCAAGTTTACTAGGATCTGCTTACTTATAACTTGTAGCACAAACAGTATTTCGTTCGGAGAAATCTGGATTTATAAAATGATTTTCAATTTGCATTTGGGCATTTTTCAAGTTCAAAATCGCGAAAATTTCGAAAACGACATATATTTATTGAATATTATATGATACGTACATCACGATAAATAATATCAATTTTTCTGTCTGTCTACCTGATGTCTGTTGTCGGTCGTCTGTGCAGTAATTAGTGGTAATTCAGAAAGTAGTGCTAAGGTTTTGATCAAACTTTGACAACCTACTGCCATGCTAAATATGAGAAAATGCTCTGTAGGATTTGAACATCGGACCAGCGATGACGAAACTAAGAGCGAAAAAAATAAAAATCTCAATTTATCATTGAGGGTAGGGTTAAGATTCCTAAATGTCCTATGCCTTGCTTTTTGGCACTTTCAACTTTCTGATCAGTTAGATCCGTAGTAGTAGTAGTAAATTTTGGGAATTAAAAATAGGAATTAGTAAATTCTTATATTTCACTTACCATTGATAACGCTTTGAAGTTTTATATGAGGCGTGTCGCAGCAAAAGGGCCTATATCCATTTTTGGTAAAAAGTGAGTAAAAGGCGGTTATGATATCTGTATCGATAGCCGCATCAACTGGTCAAGTATTCATATGTCAAAGGTGTCTTTATCCCATATAAAACTACGATGAAATATAGGGTGTCGCGGCAAAAGGTTCTATATTTACGATCATCAACGCGTCAAAGAGGCCTATATCCAACAAGCCAATCAAACCACTAGAATTCTGTCATGCGGCTTCGAGTTTCATCAAGACCGTGGGTTTTACGTTTATTAGAGTTTAGCATCGAAAGGAGATTGTTGTTTGTATTGTAAAGTATAGGATTGTAATAAAACTTCTTGAAGGTTTACGACTGGAAAACTAGTAGGGACTTACTATAAAAAAACTACATCGTGGCACTTCAAGTTTAACGAAGCAAAGCGTTTCATCCTCACTAAATCCAAACAACAAAATATATTGGTTAGGGGTGAAGTATCTTACAGCAGTGATTTAACTAATGGCAAATTGGTTGTTAAAAATGGTGTCAAAATAAAATCAATCCCATTGCCTGATGAAATACCAATGGGAGTTGCATTGAAAGCAGCTAAGGTCCAAGATGTTAAAAACCTTTTGAAAAAGCACTTCGGCGAGACCTGGGACACCATGGAAGAATGCTCCTTCTACAAAAATGTGTTGGGAATCACGGCCGATGTGACAGCTAGCCATACAGCAGCAACAAACGAAACTGATGAAGACCTCGAAGAAGAAGTTAATGAGTTATGTGAAGGACATCAACATGAACATCTCGTTGAGCGGGTGTAATACTTATTATATTTTCTCAAAATGCATTGAGTTGATCTTAAAGAATCTTAGTTTTGATTTCTTGTAGACATATGTATTTTTTTTAAGGGAAATAAATATTTGCTTGTTTATTCTATCTATGTGCCGGATCTACCACCATGTAATAAGCTCATTCCTAAAATAAATTCTAAGTTGAAAATTGTCTCAACAATATATATTATGAGGATTATTTATTATATTTATAGCGCGGCGGTAGAATCGTCCATAAGTGTGTTATTGCGTCAAAACGGCCTATATCCTTATACAGCTGGAGCAAAAGTTCCTTTATCCATTTTGTTACGGCAAATGGTTCTATATCCAAACTCTATAGCTAAATTACATCCGCTTTACTCACTCCACGATTATTTTTGTTGCTTGTATTTGTTTTATAACCCAATAACGGTTCAAAACAAAATTATAGCCGTTACAACTTTTAACTTAGTTAGAACAGTTTTTCGCCAATTGTGGAAAATTAGTGGAAGGGGGTATAGGCCCTTTTGCAGTAAGACGCCTCATATACCTAAAACTTTGAATATATTCATATAGCATAGGGCGAGATGAAAAATGTTTAAATATAAAATCTTTTTATAAAAATTTGTTGAGTACAATTTGGCTCCAAAGAGGTAGGATAGGTTTTATTTTGATGTTTTATTCCATTCCAGCCAAAGCTAATGCCTGGTGGAAACTACATCAAGACAGGCAAAGACTCTACCCAAAGTACTTGTCTCCTCTTTGCACCACAAGGCGAGGAAGTTGGTACTCTAGCGAAGTACCTGGCTATCTTCCAGAAACATGGCGTCAATCTCAGTCATATCGAATCAAGACCTTCAACAAAGGTCCCCAACAAGTATGAGTTTATGGTAGAGTGTGTACCGTCTGGTGACCTTGGGGAGGCTGCGTGTGAGCTCAAGAAAAGTTGCGAGTACTTGAAGATTATTTCCAGAGATTACAAGGATAATATAGGTAAGGACTGAATACTAACAATACTAGGAGGACTTCCATGTTCTTCATAGAAACACAGACATGTTGTGAAAGTCTTTCCAAGTGTTATCTAAGGTGGATAAACAGTTGGATCACCATCTTCAAGTTACCCGACGTGAAATACAGACGTATTTATAAGTTTGTGAAGCCAAAAGTGTACGATTGGAAGAAACGCCATACAAATTTTGAAAAACGGTTTTCATAACTTACATGTATTAATATTCTTTTCGAGAAGAAAAAAGTTTTAATAATGACTTGGTCAAATTTGTTATGCCTTTTTGAAAATTAACAGATACAGATGAAGCCCCGAAAATAGAACTAAAATCATTTAAGAAAAATACTTGCTAAAAATCACAAATTGTCATGGCCATCTAGACGGGTTTTCTATTCAATTTAAACTAGATTTTCTGTGATACGGGCGCCTCCAGGACGCAGATCCACTGAACCTGTAAGATTGAAAATTAGCTCTAAATAAAAAGCGCGAAAACTCTACAAAGAATATTTACTACACAATTCTTGGTATTCTTCGTTATTTTACTTGCAAAATTTGTATAACAAGGTAGACAGTACGTCATTTCCGAGTAATTCACATTTTTATTATAAATTGTAAGAAACATTCTCAAAAACTGATACATGATTCTTAAGAACTGTAACCGAATTTTGCTATCTCAAACGTGCTGTTGCTTGTTTCTTACTTCCATGCCAATGGGAGAAGGAAATTATACTGGTTATACTACGGCAATTACGAAAACTCTTAAATTCGAGATATCCGTAGTTGTTGCTTGTCTGTTTGAACATCGGTCTGCTTGGTCTGTTGTATGTACATACCTACCAATATATTTATTGGAGGTTTCATGACAGGCATGTCAGGAAAAACATTCATTACTGTCGGTCTGTATGACAGGTAACTTTTGGTTACTATGACTCGGTATATACCGATCGGAGTTTAAGGAAACTGACCCTCGGCTACTACCATGCCAAGGTCGGACAGATTGTAGGTTTTAATTATTGGTCCAGTGGCAGCGTAGTCATTCCATAAGTCCATTTTTCGAGCATAGTCAAAGCAATTTTAAGGAAACAAGACAATCAAGAGTGTTTTATATTTCACTAATATTGCTTAGATTGTCCGTCAAGTTAGAAGGTTAATCATAGAAAAGCAACAGTTTATTTGATTAGCACAGGTTTTGTAAAAAGTAAATTGTCCAATTTTGACATTTGTTTCCCCAGGTGAGAACCCTCAGCATTTATCCTCAAAAAGATAGTTTTCTTGTAAAACTTGTCTATACAATTGTATTTGAAAATATTCGGATCCTTCGAATATTATGCATACAATGCCCTATTTTTAAAGGTACCGTCCCATGGTTCCCACGACGTATCAGAGATCTGGACCGATTCGCAAATCAGATTCTATCGTATGGATCTGAGTTAGATGCTGATCATCCTGGATTTACTGATCCTGTTTACAGGGCAAGAAGGAAGTATTTTGCTGATATAGCTTACAACTACAGGTAAATATTACACAAATAGATAATGTAAATTTTAAATATATAAAAATGGCCGTCACGTAAAACGGTTTTTCAACATGTCTTCGTAACTAGTGGACGTAGTTTAATATTGTGCCTATAAACATATATGTACTCCTATAGGTGCTTAATGGTGGTACATATATTCAGGGTACATATAAGTTTACACGTGGCCTTAGTGACTGGTCCTAAAGTTTGACAGACTTTTAGTATTTGTATATACCATAAAATATTATGCAAACAGTGGGAACTACTCAATTTATCTCATATTTTCCCTTTCCAGGCATGGTCAAAAACTCCCACACGTGGATTACACAAAGGAAGAAACTGAAACGTGGAGAAAAGTATTCAAACAGTTGACTACTCTCTACCCAACTCATGCTTGTAAAGAACACAACCACGTCTTTCCGCTGTTAGTAGAAAACTGTGGATACAGAGAAGATAACATACCTCAGCTGGAGGATGTCTCGAACTTCCTTAAAGGTAACTTCAATTTGGAAACTCTTCAAACTCCTGACTTAGTTGTGCATCTCAAAATATAGTAAGGTTATTATTATCACTACAATAGAGGGCAGAAAAGTTTGATGACACTGTTGAGTATAGTCTTTTTTTCACACTGCATAATGTATGCCTTGTCATGTAGTTCCTTATTGTTGTATTAATTGACAGCTGTTGCACTCACTGTTTCATGACTAAAGATATTCCACAGCAGCGGTTGCCAACCTTTTTCTTACTGCGAACCCCTTATAAAAATTTGAATATATCAGCGAACACCCTGATCAGTCGTTAGTGAGATTAAATAAAACAGTACTATTTGGCAGCTATCAGAATTTATTATTTATTCTTTTCAAAAGTTCACTTTCAACACTGTTATCGTTAATTCTCCGTGCCACTGTGCTGTTTGATAAGGGCACAAGGTCAATTTTTTTGCCGCTTTGTCTCCAAGTAGCCCATTGCGATGTCTTTAGCACAAGGTCCGATCAAACTTTCTGTCACTGTATGAGCTTTTAAAGATCTTGCGATTCTGTACTAACTCGAAATGATGCTTCAAGTTGCAAGAGTCATTTTACTATCTGCGTTGAAAGCCGACAGAAAAGAAGAAACATTACAATTCTTATTACCTTCCAATTTCCTTTTAAAATACCCAATAAGTTTATCCTTGTAATGCGGATGTCTTGTCTCAAGATGCCGACGAAGAAGCGATGGTCTTACACTACAGTTCGCCAGGACTTCATTACTAATTACACAAAGCGGCTTAGGTTCTGATTCTTGCCCGGTGAAATAAAAACCCATTTGATAATAGTCAGTGTCGTATTTTCATTTCTTTCCTTTTCTTCCACCATGCTTGTCTATTTTCTCATTACTTTTATTCTGGCGAGAAGGTACCTGAGTATAACTTTCAATATCGCCACCTTGTATTGGACCCAAATCGGCAACCGAAGAAGAAGCTGTAGTTGATTGCCCATCTGGCTTTTCGACATGCGCGTTTGACTGCACTCGTACTTCCGGAGTGCATTCTTAGAAAGGTCTCGGTGCGCTCGATTCGCCGAAGTAGAACTCTTGCCTGATTGCTGTAGCGGCAGTGTTGCAATATTGAGAACAAATTCCGCCATCACCATAATTTTTTCGCGAACCCGCTTCATATAGCTCTTGAACCCGTGGGGGTAGACAGTGTACCACACGATTTGAAATAAAATGTCTCCTTATCCACGTGGATGCTGTCTCTTTTTTTATTTTTTGGTATTTCCTCGGAGATGTTGTTCAACATTGCGATGTCTTTAGCACAAGGTCCGAACAAATTTTCTGTCACTGTATGAGCTTTTCCAGATCTTGCGATTCTGTACTAACTCGAAATGATGGTTCAAGATGCAAGAGTCATTTTGCTATCTGCGTTGAAAGCCGACAGGAAAGAAGAAACATTACAACTCTTATTACCTTCCAATTTCCTTTTAAAATACCCAATAAGTTTATCCTTGTAATGCGGATGTCTTGTCTCAAGGTGCCGACGAAGAAGCGATGGTCTTACACTACTGTTGGCCAGGACTTCATTACTAATTACACAAAGCGGCTTAGGTTCTGATTCTTGCACGGTGAAATAAAAACCCATTTGATAATAGTCAGTGTCGTATTTTCATTTCTTTCCTTTTTTTCCACCATGCTTGTCTATTTTCTCATTACTTTTATTCTGGCGAGAAGGTACCTGAGTATAACTTTCAATATCGCCACCTTGTATTGGACCCAAATCGGGAACCGAAGAAGAAGCTGTAGTTGATTGCCCATCTGGCTTTTCGACATGCGCGTTTGACTGCACTCGTACTTCCGGAGTGCATTCTTAGAAAGGTCTCGGTGCGCTCGATTCGCCGAAATAGAACTCTTGCCGGATTGTTGTAGAGGCGGTGTTGCAATATTGAGGACAAATTCCGCCATCACCATAATTTTTTCACGAACCCGCTTCATATAGCTCTTGAACCCCTAGGGGTTCCACAGTGTACCACACGATTTGAAATAAAATGTCTCCTTATCCACGTGGATGCTGTCTCTTTTTTTATTTTTTGGTATTTCCTCGGAGATGTTGTTCATATAGCAAGTGTCGAATCTCTGGTGGAATTCGCATTATTTTACGTTGTACCCTTTTCAGTACTTCCATGTCTTTAAGGAAATAGGGACACCATACGTTGAGTGATGTTCAAGTTTTCGAATTTACGTTTTGTATAGGTTGTCTATCATAGTAGGAGAGTGGTTTTAACAGCTTTTTCAATCAAACATATCAGTGGGCTTACTTGTTGTAGTTTTGTTAGTAATGTGAGCTTCCCATTTTATCTTGTGCTATTATAACTCTTTATGGTACTGTAAATTTTAGCTCCTTCCCTATATGATAGTTTATATAAAGATTTGTCTTCCCATTATGAACAGTACATTTTTCTGCGTTGAGTGACATTTGCCATTTCTTACACCACACCTCGATGATGAGGGTATGTATTCAATAATTGCGACTTCTTGTAATGTAATGTATTCCAAATATATCATCTGCATAGTATGAAATCTTAGTTCTTATCACCATTGAGATATCTGACGTGTTAACAAGAATAAAAGAGGTTCAAATACAGAGCCCTATGGAACACCACTTAGCACTGGATTGTTGGTCACTTAGAACCCCATTTGTTCCTACCTGGAAGGTTCTGTCAATAAGAAATGCCTCCGTCCAATCTAAAAACTTACCTCGTACGTCAAAAGGCTCAAGTTTATAAATCAAATTTTTAAGCGGAACTTTAACAAAAGATGCGGAACTTTATAACAATTTTTTTTTGAAGGTCAAAATTTCTATATGTTCACATGATTTGAATAAAAAAAATCTATCTTTTATTTCAGACTGTACTGGCTTTACCTTACGTCCTGTAGCAGGACTTCTATCATCCAGAGATTTCCTGGCAGGTTTAGCCTTCAGAGTATTCCATTCAACTCAGTACATCCGACATCCCAGCAAACCATTTTATACACCAGAACCTGACGTTTGTCACGAACTGCTAGGACATGCCCCACTTTTTGCGGATCCTGAATTTGCGAATTTTTCGCAGCAGATTGGACTTGCGTCCCTTGGAGCTCCAGATGATTACATAGAAAAACTCGCAACTGTGAGTACCTAACTCTTCATCAGATTCTCTCATGGCCGCTATGTTTGAATTCTTTGCTGAATAAAATACTTGAAAACGTTGATTTGATAAAATATACTAAGTGACATATAAATCCGAACACCCAGTTCAAATGGCTTTATTTTAATAAAATTTTGCATAAGTACTTAATGAAGCATAATAAGTAAATGATAAAAATTTCAAAATGATTGCCCTGCTTTAAAGCCCTTTGACCTTTAATAATGTGTGGATGCACCCTGATGTGCTACGCATTCTCCAACGCGCCTAGACATGCTTCTGATCAGGTGGTCAATGTCCTCCTGTGGTTGCAAATTGAGTAATCTCCTACCCATCATATCCCACACGTGCTCAATTGGGAATAAGTCAGGAGATCTTGGTGGCCATGGTAACAATGTGACATCCTTATGTTGAAAGAAGTCTATTGTGACTCTTGCAACATGTGGTCGGGCATTATCTTGTTGGAAAGTTGGATCTGCCAGGGTGTCAAGATAGGGTAAAAGATGGGGTTCTAGAACTTCGTAGATATAACACTGCGCGTTCATGTTACCTCTGATGAAGATTAAAGGTGACCTGGAACCATAAGCTATAGCACCCCAAACCATAACTCCAATAGTGTGATGAACATGTCTTTCAACAAAAAACTGTGGATTCCTCCTTTCACCACGTCGCATTTTAACCCTGGCACGACCATCGCGCATGCCTAAACAAAATCGAGACTCGTCACTAAAGACAATACTGTTCCATTCCTGATCCCAGAGTGACCGTTGTCTGCACCACTCAAGGTGATTACGTCGGTGTTCTCGAGTTAAAGGGAGGACCCAGTGTGGCCGGTATGAAAACAAGCCAAAACTTCTCATTCGTCGGTAAACACTTCGCATGCCAATAGGTCTTCCGTGTTCTGCAAACCATTCATTTGCAATGGACCTGGTAGTGGAGAAACGGTCCCTTAAGGCCAATAATCTTAGGCGGCGATCTTCACGGTCTGTTGTTCTATGGCGGCGTCCAGTGCCCCTTGCTCTTTGCGTACAGCCTTCTCGAAGCCATGCCTGACAACACCTAACCACAGTGTCTACACTTCTTTGCACTCTAACTGCAATTGCCCGAAAAGAAAGTCCAGCTTCCCGAAGTCCCACTATACGGCCCCTATCAAACTCACTAAGTTGACGAAATCGTACAGGTCTCCATACTCTAGGCATCGTAACCGATCGTAAAGGATGTCAAGAACCAAAATCCGCCAACGTTGATTCTTTACTGTGGTGAAATAAAAAAAAGCAGTATAAAAACCGGAATGTCCAACTGATAAGGCTAAAAATTTTTTCACTTGTTATTTACAGTAAGATAAATACATTCGCCAACTTTTATTAAAATAAAACCATTTAAACTGGGTGTTCGGATTTATATGTCACTTAGTATATATTGCCCAGTTACTAGAAGTTACTACTTATACTTCACAAAAATATTAAAACCAGAGCCTGCGTAAAAAATTCTCTGAAAGAATTTTTTGAATAGGTTGAGATATTGGAAAAATCTAATTTAAGCTTTTCCACAAATTTTGTAGGGCTTCTGGGGTTTCCTGGGTTTTTTTTAAAATACTTCTTAGTAAGAGAAAGTTGATTTTCCGGACTCTTTTTCAGTGTTTTTGGTTTACTGTCGAATTTGGGTTGTGTCGAGAAAATAACGAGGTGAAGGCCTATGGAGCCGGCTTATTATCATCTTATGGTGAACTTCAATATGCTCTTGAAGATAAAGCTGAAATTAGGCCATTCGAACCGGCGAGAACCGCCTTGCAGAAATACCCTATTACCGAGTACCAACCAGTATACTATGTTGCTGAAGATTTTGAGGATGCTAAAGAAAAAATGATGTAGGTATTTCCCAAAAAATATACAGGTGGCCAATATATAACTGATTTAAAATTGCGCACCATTTTTGATACACGCATTTCAGTAGTAGCTGTTTAAACCACATGATGTGTCGAATTCATCATATTGCGCTACACGAACCCACAACGCGTCCGTATTGTTAAAACGTTTTCCTAAATAATGAGTCGGATTGCTACAATTCTACAAGCTACGACAAGATTTCGGTCGAAATAATGTGCCCAGTGTCAACAGCATTCATCAGTTGGTGCGTAAATTTGAAGAAACAGGTGAAGTTAAAGACTTGCCTAGGTCGGGCCGTGTTCGAACTGTTCGTACTCCGGAAGATATCGAGAGAGTTCGTGAAAGTGTAGTGGAGCGCCCTGAGACATCTCTACCGAACATCGTCCTCAAGAACTGGGTATAAGTCGCGCGTCATTATGCACTTATTTGCGGCCATACAAAATTTAATTAACCCAAGAAGAAAATAACGATTTTTACCGACAACTGATAATGAGCGATGAAGCCCACTTCGCTATGAACGGATTTGTTAATAAGTAGAATAGTCGTATCTGGGCATTAGAGAACCCTCGTTTCATCCATCAACGACCACTACATACTCGTCGATTCACAGTTTGGTGCGGTGTTTGGTATGGAGGTGTCATTGGACCTTACTTCTTTGAACACGCTGCAGGTAATTCTCTTGCTGTCACTGGCGAGCGCTACAGTGATATGGTGCAAATCTTTCTGGTTTCTCAAATCCAACAATTTAACCTGCAAAATACGTGGTTCCAGCAGGACGGAGCGACTTGTCAAACAGCTAGGGAAACAATGAATCTTTTGCGAACAATATTTCCGAGACGTTGAATTTCTCGATTTGGTGATGTCAACTGGCCACCAATGTCACCGGATTTAACGGCTCTTGACTTTTTTATAAAAATTTTTGCAAAATAGGGCTTATGCCAATAAACCAAATACTGTAGAGCAGCTGAAGAAGAATATTACGGAAGCGATTGAAAATATTCCGCCCCAATCTACCAAAAAGTGGAAAATGTAATCAAGAGGGCTCAGGTTTGTTTGAATCGGTCATTTTACTACATCGCAGTTATTGAGAATATATTAAGCTGACTATGGAATTTGAATTTTGAAAGATTGAAATGTGGAATAACACTCACAGTTTGATAATAATACAAGAGAAAGTCTGAAAAATTGTTATTTTAACAAGAAATATGATTAGTGGCATCATTGATATATAATAATGTATCACAGCTATCTTTATCCTCTCCATAATAATTAGGAACCTACTTTGAAACGAATTTTTACATGCAAAAAGCATTCTCATTGACAATCAGTTTGGTTTTCGTTCAAGAAGTAACACTGGCGATGTTATACACGCACGCATGTAGAATATATAGAATCTGGTGAATATCCTGTGGGAATATTCTGCGACATAAGTAAAGCTATCGATTGGGTCAGTCATCAAATACTATTAGCAAAAGCTGACAAATATGGAATTCGCGGTAAGTGCTTAGAATGGCATACAAGAAACGGGTGCTTGTAAAATACAACATCCGCGTTACTCAATGCTGACATATGAAAGCCTCAAGCTCCATCCTATTGTTCATAATTTTTGTGAATGGCATTACGTGTTCGCTGATGATGCCTCAATACCAGATAAAAGCACAAATTTAAATGAGGTTAAAGTAATTAAGGGATTAAAGCAACTGTATGACTGGTTTGACATCTACCTCTAAGAAAGCATCCCTGGTAAAAAAGAATTTTGGAAAAATTGTGACTTGAGTGGTTTTTGAAATGACAGATTCATTTGTATTTACGATTTTTTGTCTTTGGGGTAAAGGGAGAGGAAGAAGCGTATTTTGACTTAATTGGTACTTTGAACTGTGTTTTGGTGGTGCGATAATTTCTTGGACGATTGTATTGATGTAGTGTCACGAACTTCGCAAGCATTGGATTTAGCTCGAATTCTAGTATATAAAACATTACTATTCAGTTTTAGCTTTCCGACAACCACCATCACTACCACTGCTGATGTTATTGAACGTATTGTTTCCATTTTTCAGAAAATATGCAGCAACGATTCCAAAAGGATTCAGCGTGAGATATGATCCGTATACACAAAGCATCGAAGTACTTGACTCCAAGCCTCAAATCCAGAGACTTGTGAACAATATTCATATGGAGGTAGCTGTATTGACAGATGCTTTGAGAAAACTGTAATGCGGGCAATATTGGCATAATATTCACACCATTAAAATAAGATTATTTTATAATTATCATGTGTATTAAGTATTAGGCAGTCGGTAATTTATTTGAAACAATGTGATGTTTTTTAGTCATAGCTGTAAGCTTATAAAATAGTTTTTAAATACACTTTCTCACTGCGTCCAAATAATAAGGGTCATATTTTTTTTTATACTCAAACTACCACGAAGGCCTAAGGCCTAAGCACCCATTGGGTACCGTGGGGCTATAGGGGAATACATGGGAAAGGGGGGGACGCCACACGGACTCTGGCGAGGGAACACGTGTGCATGCAACATGCACACATTCTGGCTCCGCCTACGAGAACCGCCGGGTGGTACCTCCGCGTTCGACAGTCAGAGACCATCTACCACCTACGGACAATCACAACATCCATAGTCAAGGGAAAAATTTCTCCTGGGACGGGACTCGAACCCGCACAGCGCACGGCGACTGATCAGGAGACCGAAGAGTCTACTACTGCGGCCACCGCTGCTGCCTATACAATTCCTATATTTTTAAATTTCCTTGAGAATCATTCCGTAAACCACTGCGTATGTATGATCTGCACTAAATGGAGACTTAATTTGCTGGGATGTGACACTGATCCATATTCTATTTCATACCTGTATTTCACCCTATAACTACAAATCTTCGCAACTTTTCTATGGTGATATTTGGAGTTCAGCATCTCGAATTATGTAGATATACCAAGCTTTATTCACGTGTAATAATGTGAATGGAAGTTTTGCTTTACAAAGCCCTATGTTATTTAGATTTCCTATGATAACATTCCTGAAAACTCTTGTGTATCTTTGATCTAGATGAAGTCCTTTTTCCCGAGCAAATCCATAAACACAAATACAATATCGTCTAAAGAAAGATAAATACATAATCTTTTATATCGATCTAGACCAACTGCAGAAGTCTACTGTGGTTTTTGTTAACATTTTGATCGAAAGGTGGATAAATCAAATAATCAATCAATTTAGGAGGGCCATCAAAGTTACTTAACGCTATGTCTCATTTTAACAACAACTTCAAGCGTAAGCAGTCGCATGTAACAGCTTGTGCCTATAATATACAGGATGTTAATTTTCTATACAGGGTGTTCCTTAATGATATGCGAATATGTAAGGGTATGAATCTACATGAAAAACTAATGTTAGTTTGCTTTATAAACTAAGGTCCAAAAATGTTTCCGTACAAAAACTCGGGGTATTGAAGTTTTAGGCAAAAAATGGAAATTAATTAATATTTTCAGAACCGCTTCAGATATTTCACTGATAATAAGTACGTAGTGAAAGTTAATAAAGTTGCATATTTTTCAATGCAAAAATAATTTTCAGCTTTAATAGTGGCGTGCGTACGGGTATTGACTTCGATAGTTTTTAAGAAAAAAAAGGTACGCCAATGATTTTTTGAAAAATAAAAACTATTTCTGAATTCCCCATTCGATTCAAAACAAATGATCTCTCTTGAGTTGCTTTCCTTTGATGCGCCATTTTTGAGTAAAAAATAGAAACCGTTCTATTGTCCGAGAAAATGAATATAATAATTGAAGCATGCGATTTAGCAATAAATATCTAGTTGCTCTGGAATATGTCACTGGCTTTTGACATCTCTGTCTCTGTTATTCAAATCTGTTCGCTGTGACATCTTTGTCATTATTTAGCTTTACAATCTTGTAAATAATAGTGAATTATTCAAATGCAGAAATGGCGGAAATTCATTACGTATATGGCCTTGCCGACGGTAATGGTGAGAAAGCCTGACGGATTTATCACCAGAGATATCCCGATCGTGCTTTGCCAGATAGTCGAATCTTTTCTAATATTCATCGTCGTCTTGTTGAAACTGGTTCTGTTCGAAAAGGAACCTCTGAAGATAGACCTCTGAGTGTGAGAACACCTGAAATTGAGGAAGCAGTACCGCACAAAGTCGAAGAACATACTGAAACGAGTACGAGGAAGATCGCTAGACGCTTAAATATTTGCCATCAAATCATTTGAAGAATTTTAGTGGATTTTTTGTAATATCCTTACCATATTTCAAGAGTATAGGCTACTACATTGATTTTCTAAGGCGTGTTACCTTTTGTCAGTGGTATCTTCAAAAAATTACACAAAATCCGCAATTTGAATCAATGATTCTGTTCACGAACGAAGCTAATTTTTCTCGAAATGCCATTCAGAATTTTCACAATAATCATTTGTGGGCAGAAGAAAATCCCTATGCCGTAACCGAAACCCATTTCCAACACCAATTTTCGGTTAACGTATGGGCAGGAATTATTGGCAACCACTTTATTGGCCCATTCTTCTTGCCGGGACGACTTGACGGACAGACTTACCTCAATTTTCTTCAACAACAGTTGCCTTTGCTGCTTGATGATATTCCGTTAGTAATAAGAAACAATATGTGGTACATGCATGATGGTGTACCAGCGCATTTCACTGTAGCGGTTCGTAACTGTTTATCCAAATCGGATTGGCCGCGGTGGGCCCCAAGAATGGCCACCAAGGTCCCCAGACCTCAACAGTTTAGATTTCTTTTTGTGGGGCTATCTTAAGACACTAGTGTACACAAGTCCCATTAACACTGTAGAGAAATTAAGAGAAAGAATAGTTGCAGCTTGTGATAGAATAAAAAACACTCCAGGGATATTTCAACGAGTGCGCAATTCCATGAAAAGGAGGGCGGAAGCATGCATTCTAAGTGAGGGGGCCATTTGCAACAATTTTTGTAATCATTTCGGTGGTTTTAATGTTATGTTTATGTTGTGAGTTGTTATTGTTCATTACCCCTAGTGTGTTTAATTTATCCACTTAAATTAATAATAATTTTGCAAGTTAGACAATAGAACGGTTTTAATTTTTTTTACTCAAAAATGGTGCATCTAAAAAAAGCAACTCAAGAGAGATCATTTGTTTTAAATTGAACGGGGAATTCGAAAATAATTTTTTTTTTTTATTTTGCAAAAAACTTGGCGTACCATTTTTTTATTAAAAAATATCCAATTCAATACCCGTACGGACGCATCTGTTAAAGCTATAAATTATTTTTGCATTGGAAAATATGCAACTTGATTAACTTTCACTACGTACTAAATATCAGTGAAATATCTGAAGTGGTTCTGAAAATATAAATTAATTTTAGTTTTTTCCTAAAACTTCAACACTCCGAGTTTCTGTAAGGAAACATTTTTGGACCATAGTTCATAAAGCAAACTAACATTAATTTTTCATTTAGATTAACACCATTAAATATTCGCATATCATTAAGGAACACCCTGTATTTATTGTTTCTTATGTAGACTTCCCCCGGTTTCACTGTTCCGTAAATTTTTTTAAAAACTTATGATTCTGATACTACATCTTTTAAAATCACTTTTTTGTACACCTATAATTGTGTTTTTTCGACCGGTTTTTAATATACAAGAATGTAAAATTAAAGAAAATTGATTTACGAAATGTATACACGAATAATTATACAAAATTGACATTGTAGGATTAATGCTGAATGAATCTTTAACAAACAAACAAATACCCGAAAATCTGTAGATTGAAACTAACAACACATCTGAAAGACTATCCTAAGATACCCAAGAATCAATTGGTACAAATATTATGTTTTCGATTGCGCTTCAGAAGACTTTCATAAACTTCTCTATAGTAAATAATATTTATTAACAAAAAAATTGTGTTGCTGTAATGACGTCGATTTTCTCATTTCTTTACTTGGCAGGTAACCAGGAAGGATGTTTTAAAAGGTGATGAAATAAAAGTAAAAATCCAAATATTTATTTGACAAGTATAATAATTTTTCCTTGACAAAACTATTTATCAATTTTGGCACACATCTTTGTTACTATATTTATGACACATGACATTTATACAAACTCGTTTGGCCACTCACATAGTGACTCACTTTTCCTTCACTATGGCCAGTTATGGCAAACCGTATATTATAGTACCCATAGAGTAGCCAGCCAGAGTACGTGAAAACAACCATAATGATAATGCTACATCAGATAAAAGTTCGTACTCTCTTTATTATATTTGTTATTAATAAAACGGGTGATACAGAAATTTTGACATTAAAAATTAGTGTCGAATGATACACCAAAAACTTCAAGTTTAATAGTCTGTTATGATAAAGATAGTGTAAGCAAAATTCTAATTCCATGGCTAAATTATTCTTCAAGGTATTAACTTTCAAACAGGTAATAATTTTCAATCATTTTCAATATGTACTTCGTTTTATTCAATTTTTGCCAGTTATAGACCACTGTGCTATGGTGTAGCTACTCTTTGAAATTGGCGACACTGCCAAGACGGTCGCCAGATCAGGGGTCTTCCATATACTTCAATGGAATAGTCGAGTAAGTAACTTAAGCAATGACATATTGATATCAATGACATTATGTAGTTTTTCCGAAAAAATGTCACCTTGGAACTAGCTGTCATTCACTCCATGTTCAATTGTACTAGCTGTGCGTGTTGCCTAAACGACATTAAACTTGAGCTATACCGTTTGGCTCTGATGTGATATAACATCTGCTCAAGAGATGGCCATGTACGAGGGCTGTTCAATAAGTACCCGTGTTTGACGACAGAGGGCGTTCCTAAGGGAAGTTAATGTTATCATCGTGTACTGCCATCTATCAGACGACGGCACAACACATTTTAGACTGATTGATATGTTAGTTTGGATGTGGCAGCCATTCGAGTAACACGTGTTTCGTGACTTTCGCTAAGATGGAAGAAGAGCAGTATCGTTCGGTAATTCGCTTTTTGTTTTTGGATGGGAAAAAATGCGAGGGTATAAATGCAAAGTTTGATGCTGTTTATGGGGGCACTTCGCCATCTATATGACCACAGTGACCACATTGGTTCAACGAATTTAAACGTGAGCGAACATCCGTTTTTGATGAGGATCGACCAGGACGCCCGGCAGACGTGGTTACCGATGAAATCCACGACGAACGAAAGTACGCGAAGTAGCAGAGGCCGTAGATGTGTCGACCGGAATAGCTATCAACATTTTACGTGATAAGATGGCTATGAAAAAATTGTCGGCCCGATGGGTGCCGCGATTGCTCACGGTGGACAACAAGCGGATACGGTTGTTAACTTCGAAGCAGTGTTTGGAGTAATTTAATCGAAATCCGAAGGAGTTTTTGCATCAAGTTGCCACCGTCGATGAAACCTAGATTCATGATTACATACCAAAAACTAAGCAACAATCAAAACAATGGATTTCTCCCGTTGAATCTGCTCCAAAGAGGTCGAAGACGGTCCCAACGGCCGGAAAGGTTATGGCGATGATTTTTTGGGATGCGGCGTCATCCTCGTGGATTTTTTATGAAAAGTAAAAACGATCACTGGACAATACTATAGTGAGTTATTGGACCGCTTTGGCAAAAATTGAAGGAGACATGGCCACATTTGATGAAAAAGAAGGTGCTGTTTCACCACGATAACGCACCAGCACATTCATCCGGAGTTATCGCCACCAAGCTACATGAATTGCGTTATGAAGTGCTGCCGCACCCGATCTGGCACCCTGCGACTTTTTCTTGTTCCCTCACATGAAAAAATGGCTCGCGGGGAAAAAATTTAGCACAAACGAGGAAGTCATCGCCGAGACAGAGGCGTATTTTGAAGAGTTCGACAAATCCTATTTTTTGGGGGGGTTAACAAAATGGCAAGATATTGAGAAAAGTGCATCTTTCTAAAAGGGGATTATGTTGAAAAATAAAAAGAAATTTTTTGGCAAAAATGGTGTCTTCATTTCTAACACGGGTACTTATTGAAGCGCCCTCGTATAGCTTATATGGCTTAAGCGGTACATTTTATACTAGTATAAGTCGTTGTTGCATTTCTCTCTAGGTGGCGTTTACAGTGAGTGCCTGTGACGTGGCATAGCAACTAGATAGTACAAAAATAAGCGATCCAAGTTGCACATACCTCTTTCATTTTCTGTCCTCCAAAAATACCGAATTACAGCGCTGTACTAGCGCGGAAGACAGTCTAAAAAGGATTATTGATACTGGAAGGTAATGCCCGAGCAATAAATTATAGATAAAAGGTACCGCACTCTACAGGAGCGCGCGGCTTGGTTGGGTTCTCTCCAATGGCGGCGGGCTATTGCTGTTGATGAGGTGCAGGGTGCAGGCTGAATTAAATTCGCAATATGGTGTTTTTTAAAGCAAATTGCATCTTTATTTGTAAAATATCTCCAGGCTTTTGAAAATCGAAATATTTCTTTCATATTTCAATATTCAGGGAGAAGCAGGTTTGATTAATTCTGATATGGTAGGTTGGATGTTTGGTATTGAATAGACAAGCCGTATGTGCTAGGCTACCGAACATAGTTATATATGGAAAATTCAGAATGTAGATATGAAAAATATTTAGATTACGAAATCTATGCTGGCTACAAGTTGTCATTATGCCGATCTGGGCGATGCCACACTGCGGATTCTGCAGCAGCCATTACCGCTGCTAAAAATGGTCTTCTCCAGTATGTAGTCTGAAAAATTACTATCTGGATTTCAAATTACAAGATAAATACTCCGAACTGTTAGCTGGAGACAGCTAACGGTAGCAGCAGGGATCCTGTGAGAGAAACTGAAGTAAAGTCCCGTTTGGCTCATTATTTTTTGGAAAGTAATACGTTTTGATGGAAAACTGGGAGAATGCATTTCTGGAAGGGCTTGAACGTAAAAACAACAGAATGTGAACTTGCCGCCTAGATAGTTCCTACTGAGCAAATGGTACATTCCGCGTTTGCTCGCTATGATCGCTGCGAGCGTCCATCTATGAAGAGATGACTCAACGACACGACACTCTTAATGACCTGCAAGCTGCAAGTCAGTTCCCCATCATGCTTTGTTGGTTGCAGAATGCCGAGAGAGTCTGTAGAGTATACACTGAGAAGCTGTGCGGTTGAGTAGCAAGATTACATCTGGATATAGTGTGTATTGGTCCTGCATGTGTATAAATAACATCAGTGATCTAGAAAATTATTACTGAATAAGCTGCCCATGAAATATATCTTTTAGCGTGCCAGACGGGCTATTTGTATTGTCATTTCTGAAGAGAGATTATGTTTAAAGTTATACATTACGTTTTTCCCAATTTTTTTTGCGTTTTCAAAAAATTTGGGAAGCATTGCGGAAAATCAGCACCGCACCCGCGTTGTGTGTAATTAAGCCACATCACAGACAAATTGGAAATGATGTATAATATAAAAAATATTTTCGATCTGCCTCACATCTATGCGCTGATTTATATTTTATAGTTGACAAATTTCTACAAAATTTAAATGACTGTAAAAATGTGAAATGCAATAACTTTTTTACGTTTATATATATATATATATATATAAATATTCGTGTATGTACCATATTTTCTCACCTATTAGTTTTACCAAACAAGGATTTTCTTTTCCTATCGCTTTCTTTTCTGAAATTCAGCAAATTTGCATATGCAATTTCTAGGTTAAAAAAGCGGATGCGTAATTAATTTTTACCTTTGGACACATCTCAAGTAAGTATATTTGAGACAAGAGACCAATAGAATAATGCTACCTCTGAACGAGATGTTACATCACATCAGATTCAAACATTGATAGCTGAAGCATCATGACATTTAGGCAACACGTACAGCTACGGAACGAGTACACAACAGGTGTACAATAGCTAGTGCTGAGTGGACATCTTGTAGAAAAACCTACATAATGTCACAAAAAACCTATATAATGTCAGAAAAACGACACAATGTCACTTTTCAAGATACGAAACAGCCCTGCGGGGGTGAAGGAAAAGTGTATTACATGAAAATTACGATCTTTACGGTGTAAAAGGAAACTAACAAATCCAGTATATACCACTGATATGTACAGATAAAAAAATAACTCAGTCCATATATCTATATTCACTTACAACTTGAGTAAATGTCTTTCAAAAACTTGCAAATATCATGGTAACACATTACATAGCACTGATTTTTCTAAAATACGAAAACTTGTCTCTTGCTTTCTCAAAGCAATGAAAGGCCTAACTATCCATTAATCGTGATCTTCTGATAGCTTTCATTGCCTTTTGATTCTCGTGACCGTAGATATCTACTTCATATCAATAATTTGAGGTACTCATCTAAAAGATATGCAGGAGAGACGGAACAAAATTTGAAACATTGGAAAATCGCTCATGTCCTTTATGAACGGTGAAACAGACAAAAATGTAGATGATGACACATATAATACCAACTCATAAGAAACGTGATATATGACCTTATGTCAATATAAAATTGATGGAAAAATACATACGATGATACTTTATTTTTGAAAATATCAAATTTAAAATGGATAATATTTACAATTCTTATACTAATTGAAAACTTTCTTATAGAGATCTTAAAATTGTGACTTACGATCTTTTTAGATAGGCACGTCAAATTGTTCAACTTAGCGATAAACCGGTGAGGTTGTAGTCCCGTAAGCGTTCTTCACCACCAAGACGTCGTCGTGATAGCATGGACAACTTCATGCTGACAAATACATTATACCATTATCGAAAGGTATTTCTTGAGTTGTCAGTAAAACTGAACTCAACATCTACCATTGAACTAAATTTAAAAGCATCCGTGGTAGGTATTCGATAGGCAATCCGAGCTTAACGTCTTTCTCTATACAAACTAGATTTGAAACATACAGTGTTCGGAAATGTTCTTTTTCCTTTCAGATTTCCATGTCTACGATAGAGAGAGAGAGAGAAGCGTGCTACACCTTGCAATACGTAAGTTACTCCGCGCTCTCCACCACTGCCATTGCCAGGCAACGCGGTGACGACGGTTATATGACGCACTCTCTTCAACACGCTTCTCTCTCGTACACATGCAAAATCAAAATGGAAAAACCACGTTGGCCGGCACTGTATACTGATCTGAATAGAAAAGGTGGTATGAGACTGCGGTCTTACAAGGTGTTATAAACTTGAGTCTCACTTCAAATAGTTGAGAAGTGATAGTAAGCCTTTCAAAGCATCGGGGAAATGTTTAAAAAACGATTCAATAAATAATAAAACGTGCTCGTTCCAATGCCTGTGTATACATCCAGGAAACAAATACGTAAACACCTAAGCGACATAAGGTGTAAATAAATTTGGATTGTTTTACTCCAACAATTTTTTTGCATACTAGGGATGCAGCTAGTACTCGGCTCTATCGGCGAGTATCAAATTACTCGAGCGGGTAATCAAAAAATGTAATTCTTCAATATCGTGTCTTTTCGAGCTTCTGAGGGTTTTAAGGGCCAAATTATTTAAAATTTTCTTGATAATATGAATACAAGTAACAACGATAATTTATACTTTATAGAAAAACATATTCTGAGATGTCTGTAACAAAGTTGTCATATTTTTAAGTAGATTCCATTTCTATTGGCAAAGGAAGTTTTAGAGTTTTGAAACAATCAGAATCCTGCACATTTTAGTTAAAAACATTATTTAGAAGAATCTTTTTGCATGAACTTCCGAACAACTATAACTTCCGCCCCCATGGTACATGAACAATTTTTCTCTTCATTTAACCTTCACGTCAAGAAATGTTCATACCGGCTCATGGTTGACAGCGATGCTATTAGGTAATAGCATGAAGCCTCATGTTATCTACCTTCAAGAACAGTGCAGGTTAACGATATCGATACTTTTTATCTATTCTTTTGCAATAGGAGATATTAAAAACAAATGTTACAAAAATGTGATGTCCAAATATGGTTTCATTTTTAACTCAATATCGTAGCTGAATACCAAAGTAAATCGTAATCGTATACAGGGTGTTGGGGAAATAATATTCGTAACTTTAAGAGGTGATTCCTTGCATTATTCTGATGAAAAAAGTTCATTATAACCTATGTCCGAAAATCAACCGTTTCTTAGTAAAAAAATGCTGAACTTATTTCTTTTTAGTCATGAAATAAATTAATTATTCACCTTAATAATTCAAATTCATATGCCTAATAGAGTAAAATGTAACAATACATCTATCTATTAATTAGCTGTGTGTAACAAAATAATTTTCTTGCTTATTAAAAATACAATTTTCCGAAGAAAAACAGACAAACAAAATCCCTCACACAACTGGCAATGTCGTACTCCACCTGCACTGCATGTATCATCGCGTGTTGTTGTGATTACCAATACATTTAACTGTAACTTTATATGATTTACGGATGTTGGTTTTCTTTTTTTCGTGCATCGCATCGTTTCAAGCAAGTGACTGATGGGGGGGACGTGGGAATTGGTGGTGTGTATATCTGGTAAGTTCTGTCATTTTTTTTAAGTCAATGTACTGTACTGAAAAAAATAAAAAATATCAGCCACGAAAAATTGCGTAAAACTATTCAATAATTCAAGGCATATTTTCAACAAAAATATCATACAAACGTAAACAGTTGCGGTCGTCGTGCGCTCGTATCGCGGTTGCGTTGCAGCGTTGCCAAATGTTTGAGAAAATTTAATTATTTACGACTCACTTTCCTTGAAAACGATTGATTTTCGGACATTCGTTAGAATTACTTTTTTTGCTTAGAATAATGCAAGCAATCACCTCTTGAAGTTATTAATAAGCATTATTTCCCTAACACCCTGTATATCTAACTGTTGCAAGACTCTCGACTATTTGATGAGCAAAACTTCTGGAAACTCTTCTGTTGGTGCATGAATAATTTTTTTGAGTAAAGAGACCTAGAAACTCAAATATAATCACTGACGGTAGCAGAGCAAATCATTCCACCGAGTATCCGGTAATCAGTACTCGAATCTGTCAGAGCATCTGCTAATCGCGTTTTGACAAAAGTGGTTTTCGGTGCATCCCTTTTGCATAGCCAAACGTATTTATCTCCTGGACTTATAAACAGGTATCAGAAGAGCAAACTAGTTTCAATAATATAAAGCACACTATCAATCATAACTCTTCGTTTAGAGTCAATTTGACACTTGTTCACTTTCCTTGCGTATTTGAGTCCGGCTGGCTATAGATGATCGTAGCAGTGATCTGAGTATGACCTGAGACTGACGGTTGAGGCGCGGGTCCTCCCACAGGAGGTTGTAGCGACCCCGATACAGGAACGATCACCTGTCCACCCCCCGGTACTCCATGCAGCATCTCATCTGTTGGGGCTGAACCGGCTGCCGAGGTACTGCTGACGGTACAGGATGGGGCTCCGGTAACTGATGTCGTCACTGATTGGTGATACTGCATCGGAACCTAAAGTAAACAAATGTACGTGCATGAGAAGCAGCGATGAAAATCGTATTGAACGAAAAATATTCAATATTGTTTAAGTATATAAATAAAAACAAAAAATTGTATCCACCACATAAGAGGCTGCACTACACGAAGCTGTTGGATACTGTTGATAACTTTGATCGGAATGCCATCAGACAGTTTATAAATTTTTTGAAAGGCAGGAATTTCCCACCGTAGACAAAGTAATAAAGGAGGTTCATAGTGATGAAGACATACCTAGTTTCAAAAGAACCACATTCAATAGTTTCCTCAAAGAACTTCATTTTGAATATAGAAAACAAGGCAGAGATAGTATTTTGATGGGCAGCCATGAGATTACTTTATGGAGAAGAAATTATTTAAAATCAATAAACAAATACCGCGACCAGGGCAGGAAGATTTATTACTTGGATGAAACCTGGATAAATGCAGGACATACCTAAAGTACGAGCTGACTCTACAATTAAATCAGCAAGACAAGCCTTCTTAGCTGGACTAAGCACTGGCCTAAAGAATCCATCGGGTATGTGTATCTAGTCAATTCGTCATTTGTGTTGTAAAAATGGTGCCAAGTAGACTGGATCTATAAGCCCGCGCTGAAAACTTAGCAACATTAAACTTAGCTATATCTGTAGATTTGGGACCAACGCCTGTTATTATTATTAGTTTTCTTGAATATTATATGAAATAATTATTTCCAGGAAAAGGAAAACGATTTGTTATCTGTCACATTGACAATGAAGATGGATTTGTGCCCACTGCCCTATGGGTATTTGGATCAAAGAAAACGACCGACTACCCAGAAGAAATGGACGGGAATTCATTTGAATGGTGCTTTAAAGAAACGCTCCCAAAGCCTGACGACAATGCCGTCATTGTACTTGATAATCCTGCATACCACACTAGAAAACGAGAAAAAATTCCCACAATGTCCACAAGAAAGGCAGAAATTCAACAATGGCTCCTATCAAAAGTCATTAGTTTCAATGAAAATATGGTCAAAGCAGAACTTATCCATCTAGTCAGGGAGAATAAATATAAATATAATCTTAATGTTATTGACGAAATGGCTAAAAAGCAAAATAAGTCCATTTTAAGGCTACCCTCTTATCACTGCGAATTAAATCCCATTGAAATGCTTTTGGCAAATATAAAAAACTATGTGACTTCAAACAATAGAACATACAAATTTTCTGACGTGAAGAATTTGTTTTATGAAGCTGTCAACATAGTGACGGCAAGCCATTGGAAAGATTGCATCCGTCACGTTCAAGAGACAATCAAAACAAAGATGTGGGATCTGGACAATATGATCGATATTCAAATTGAACCTGTAATAATTAATTTCAACCATTCGGAAGATGATTCAAGTACTTCCAACGAATACAGAATTGTGAAAATTATGTGCACTTCTTTCTATAAAAATAATCATTTATTTTTTTAGATTATTCCAAGGCCATTGAGGAAAATACGGACCTGCACAATCTCGCTTTTGGCATGTTGTGTTTTGTCTGAGCGTAAATGGACTACGAACCGTACTCAGTGATACATGCGTAACCAGAATCGTAAAATTAATATTCAAAAATTGGCATCAAAATACGAAGTTGGAACAAAATTATAATCGTCTTCTGGCAACCTCAAAATAGTACCACTTAATAAGCTTCTGTAAAATAAGAGGTATATTTAATTTTGCATTTTTCCATTACAAGATTACTTACGTTTTGCACAACGGCTTGTGCTTGTGACCCAGGCAACAATCCAAGCCTAGCCATGAGCAACTGTTCAGATACCCTCCTCAGTTCCTGTTGCTGTTGATCGATGATAGCTTGAAGCTGCGCATGTTTTCTCTGAAGATCAACTTGAAGCTGAGACTGAGCGGATGACATCACCATGTTGTCGACCTCCTGGAAATGGTAAAATTGCATCATATAATAGCATATTTCGACCGAGCAGAAGACAATCTAAATATTACTCTAAAACAGAGGGGTCATCATGTACTCAGTGACATTAGAAGTGTTACACCAAGAAAAAATAATTTTATTAGCTTGTTTTTTTGGCAACATAATGACTATGTTTAAAGCATGCTGTGGCAACAATGTCAACGTTTTATCTTTGTTTTTGTTTAACTTTGTTAAAATATTATCTCTTAGTTTTTGTGAAGAAAGTTGTTCCTGAGAGCTGAGTAGTGCAGATATTTTTAGTTATTGCCTTTTCATTTTTATATTTTTATATTTTTTTGTATTTTAAATTTACTTTTTAGTTTAAATTTTATTATTAAAGATTATACTATTCTAATCGAATATGAATTATTTGTTTTAAATTCTAGTTTAATTGTAATAATTATTATATTAGACTGAATATCTTTAATATTTTTAAGATTCGTTTTATTTATTTCATCTATGGTTATTTATTATAGGGAAGAGTACATAGAAGGGGATTTTTATTTGATTCGATTTATTTTATTAGTAGTTATATTTGTTTTATCTATAATATTATTAATTATTAGCCCTAATTTAATTTCAATTTTATTAGGCTGAGACGGTTTAGGACTAGTTTCGTATGTTTTAGTAATTTACTATCAAAATTTTAAATCTTTTAATGCAGGTATATTAACAGCTTTATCTAATCGAATTGGGGATGTAGCTATTTTAATAGCAATTGCTTGAATAGTAAATTTTGGTAGTTGAAATTATATTTTTTATCTTGATTTGATGAAAAATGATTTTATTATAGAATTAATTAGTTACTTAGTAGTTTTAGCGGCTATAACTAAAAGAGCTCAAATTCCTTTTTCCTCTTGGCTACCCTCTGCTATAGCAGCTCCGACCCCCGTGTCTTCATTGGTCCATTCTTCGACATTAGTAACAGCAGGGGTTTATTTACTTATTCGATTTAATTTTACTTTATCTGAATTTTTAATGTATTTTTTATTATTTTTAGCTAGAATAACAATATTTATATCTGGTATAGGGGCAAATTTTAAGTATGACTTGAAAAAAATTATTGCATTATCAACTTTGAGTCAGTTAGGTTTAATAATAAGAATTTTAGCATTAGGGGGTTATAAATTGGCTTTTTTCATTTGTTGACTCATGCCTTATTTAAGGCACTTTTATTTATATGTGCCGGAAATATAATTCATAATTTAGGGAGTTGCCAAGATATTCGTTATATGGGAAGGCTATTATTTGTATTAAGCATAACAAAATGCCTCGAGTTCGAAGACGTTCGAATTATCTCCATGTTAGCAACTTTGGCAGTAGTAGAATTATTGCCTATCGAGGTGTTGGTTTGGCCTATCGCGAAATTAGCCGCGAAGAAGGCCAACTGGTCCACCGAGTCGTACCACAAAGCATCAAGTTAGGTGCTTCAGACAACTAGCCCTACGAGACTGTTTTGCTGACCAATGGTTTGGAGAAGAAGATAGACCTGTTATTATGGGTACACTGTATCGCCGCATTCGAGCCTTTTTACTTTTTTCATATCGTCCGCTGTTAGTGCTACCTCTGACTGCGGACCACAGTCGTCAACGTTTGAACTGGAGCAGAGAACGGCAACATTGGGATTCAAAATTGCATTATCTTCAGCGACAAATCGCGATTCTGTCTAGGTACGCACGATGGTCGTAGAAGGGTAAGACGTCGTCGTGGAGAACGGCGTGATATTGTATGTGCTCTTGAGAGGCATGTACACAGGACTGTTGGAATAATGGTTTGGGGGGCTATTGCCTATGGTAGCCGATCACCCTTTCTCTATGTTCAAGGCAACATGAATGCTGCTCGTTATGTTGATGATGTCCCACAAACCACTTTACTGCCGTATGTAGAGGGCGTCCGTTTTCAGCAAGACAACGCCCGTCCCCATATTGCTCGTCGTACTACAGACTTAATTCAAGAAGCAGGCGTTAATGTTTTGCTGTAGCCACACCGTTCACCGGATTTAAATCCCATCGAACGTGTGTGGGATATGATGGGGAGTAAACTATCCACTTTGAACCATCCCCCACAGACTCTGCCACAACTAATCGACGACGTTCGGGTCGCTTGCAATGAGGTGCCACAACCTGACATCGACCACCTCATTTTGTCGATGTCTAGTCGTATATAGGAGTATATTCAGCTGCGGGGTCGCCCAACACATTATTTTCTTTCATTATTACTTGTCAATAAAATTTCGTGAAAATGTTATCGTTTCATTCTTGATGCAAGACTACCTCATTGCCAAAAAATCAAGCTGAAGAAATTATTTTTTCACTTCTAATGTGAGTATAGTTTATTTCTTAAGCTATTAGAATCTACTAGACCAGGGTCTGATATTTTGTCGTCACTGCAATGTTTGTTATGAGTTCTCCAAGATTGTGTTTTTGAATAAAATCAACGATTTTGTGAATATATCAAGTAGTCCCTCCGCTACCCATGTGCAAGCATCTCTGACACGCCATAAGATTGAAGTTTGCTTCAACGATAGAGTACATCTTGTAACCCAATGAGCGTAATCTATTAGAGGCAGTAAGAATAGCCGCGCTGCGTCATCTCTATCAGCGATCACTGTAAAGGTCGATTCATAAACTGTGACGATGTTGCATGCATTCTTTTTCACACATTTGATGACTAAACCTGTATGCAGAGAGTCTTCATTACCTGTAAGATAAATCTCATTCAAATCATATTATTGATATGAATAAACTAAATAAAATATAGCGTAACTCCCTCGTATAGCTGGGACCTTGCGTGGCGTGAGATGGCCTCGCGACGTCGACGCTAGGCAACCAGATTTACACCAACATGTATCGCAGGTTACGAGCGACTGTGTTCACGTGCGGCGCTATCTAGAAGGAATTGAGTTTTTTGCTAGAAAATGCTGGAGAACATCGGAAACCGTTAATTTACGTCATAAATGCCCGACCATACCTTAGTACAAGTGTTATAAATTAGTGTAAAAGTAATAAACTAGACTTGTGTGGCGTGGAACATCAGAGTTTATAAATCGGCCTTAACTACGGAGGCGACACATGAATAAAAGTCAAAAGCAGTCGACGCGAACGGGAAGCGCGACTTTGATATGAATCAGTAGGGTGGTGGTGTTATGTATCAGACAGTTATTAACCAGTAATAAATTGGTTTGTTTTAATACAGCACATCAGATGTATATTTTTGTATTTACCGGTAATGGTGATAGCACCGCCGCAGGTGGAGCAGTAGCAAAATTGGGCACTATAGTAGCAGACTGTAGTGGTATTGCAGCCACGTACTGCGGCGGAGGTGGTTCCACGAACGCCTGGGGTGACATCGCCTGCGGTTGCACCTGCGCGGTCATCATATGTTGCTGTTGAGGCGAAAGTGGTACTGCTTGTTGGTCAGGTGATGGAGCCGTCGACTGGTGCTGATTGACAGGTATCGTCTTGCCGGTCAGAGATTGTTGCTGACTGTGATGCGTTTGGTGACCCTGATAACTGGTAGAACGTTTCTGAAAAAATAACAGAGGTGCTTAACAGATCTATTGAAGGTTTGTTTTTGATTTCAGGCTCGCTCATCTCTTTATAGGTTAGTTTGAACTTATCACTCTGAAATTATAACGAGTATTGTCTCAGCCTTAGGCGGAAAAGACGAGATCGCCGCTAGGGGACGCTTTTTCAGTCACAGGTTAGTTCTTAAGTCAGTTAACCTTAATTTTTATCTACCAGTTGATCCATAAATGAATAAGATGCTTGGCTTTATTAGAAGATATTTCAACAACCCTGCAAACCTGTTATGACTATACTCGTAGCATGCATTTAAACATAGTAATCTCTCTTTTGCGTATTGGGAACCAACAGTACACATAAGAAGAAATGAGTCTGTCCAACATAAGTTCTTGCGAATTCTGGCTTATGAGCCGGGTATTATTGTAAATAATCACGATTATAGCTTGGTAATTGGAACATTTGGCTAAGAGAAGGGTATTTATCTGATTTATGTTTTCTTAACAGAATCTTCAACAATAAAATTGACTGCTTTCAGTATTAATGTTGACAAGACTAAGTGTATGATACTGAAATCTGCATTTAATGTTCAGGAAACTTATCTGCACGACGGATTTATAATTAAGAATAATAAGATTAAACAGATTAACAAGTATAAATATTTAGGAGTTATTTTATTTATTTATTTTATTTATTTATTTATTTACACTTTACCCAACAGCTACAAAGCCAATTACAGAGTAGGATAAAGTTCAAATATCAAAAATACACAATATCTTACATATTACACACAAATGTAGGAAGTTCAGTCACAAGGATACTATATACAAATATTTACAAAAATGGCAGTGTAGATAAAAAATTAAATAGCAAATAGCAGACAAGACATCATAAGGAACCACGCAGCAGATAGGACATCAGAGAAATATATCTAATTGATCCGCAATGTCATTCGCTTTACCACATGAGCTATACAATGGAGAAAACTTTAAAATATTTGTTCTAGGGGTAGGCAAATAGAAGGTATTGCATTGTCTAGCATTCAAACGCGGGACAAGGAAATTAAAATCATGCAATATATTGCAACAATCAATACGATTGTGCCATATATCAGTCACGAACTTAACACTGCACTTATCACGCCTATGATAACAAGGGACCTTAGTTCATGGACGTCATTACTTATATATAAAACAATAGTCATGCCTCACTCTAACTACTGTTCCTCCATATGATATATGTTTCAGAAAGGTGATATAGATTCACTACAGAGAAAACAAAATCAGGCTCTTTAATGTTATTAAGATGTAATAGATACACAAGAATAAAATACATGTTAGAAGTAACTAATTTATTAAGTATCAAACAAAATATATTTTACAATAAAATGATAGTCATCTACAAAATAAACAATGGAATGTATCCCGAACACATATTGGAAGGTTTGCAATTTGTCTGTGATATTCATAGTTACAATACAAGGAATAGGTTTGATTTTTATGTTCCTGCTGTGGGGTCTGCTTTTCCGCAAAATAGTTTATTTCTTAAAGGCCTTATCTACAAATTTTGTCAAATTCAAAAGACAATTGAGAATTTATGTAGAAAATAGTGTAAGTTTTAGATAATAACATTATATATATATATATCCTATCACTAAGATTGCCACCTCAGGCTTACAAATTGGAAGCTTTCCATCGGTAAGTTTTAACTTTATCACCAATACGGTAACTTACGTGAGCTGGTCGGTGGATGGAAGACGAATATTTTGACCCAGGGGAATCACACGAAACTGATGTGCAATCCGAGGCCGAGCCTGGCCTAATGGTGCCTCTAGACTTCGCGTCGCCCCCGCTGGAACTCAGCCAAGACAAGCCTCCTCCTCCTGTTGTCTTCACGCTCATGGCTGGTGATTGCTCGCCAAACGCTGTGGACAGTGACTCACTATTGGAACCCTCGCGATACTGTTTTAAGACATCCGAGTAACTAAAAAAATAATGGAGATATTTATATTAAATCAGTCAAAGCAGCGCTTATGGAACAAAAAGAAAAGTTGTTTCACATGCACAAATATTGTTAAGCGGTGCTGAAAACCTGTGTAAAACTGGTTGTTTCTATGTCTCTTCGGATCCAGGCGGAAATCTTTGCGATTCTGGCTTGTGTATCTCACATTCTGGAGGAGGGTGGGCCTAGGAGAAGAATAACAATCTTATCCGACAGCCAGGCTGCAATGAAAGCACTAAGTGCATGTAAGATTACTTCGAGTCTTGTATTGCAATGCAGGGAGGCTCTGGATTGCCTCGCAGCGAGGCATCCGGTATCGTTAATATGGGTACCGGGGCACGCTGGGATAAGGGGCAATGAGACGGCGGACACTCTCGCGAAAACAGGATCAGCCAGCAAGCTCGTTGGTCCTGAGCCAGCTCTAGGAGTAACCGCGCATAAAGCTAGGAGGAAAATGGAGACGTGGGTTGCAAGACAACACTCTCAGAAATGGAGAAGTATCTCTAGACATCTCCGCCAGGCACGAGAGCTCATTGAAGGGCCCAGTGCTAAGGATGGACGCTTCTGCCTATTTCTGGGTAGAGCCAACCTAAGGTTGCTGGTGGGACTGTTGTCTGGCCATAACACGTTAAGGCGGCACCTGCAGGTGATGGGGGTGGCTGAGGATCCCTTGTGCGAACGCTGCGGAGTAGAGGAAGAGACCTCGGCGCACGTTTTGTGTCGCTATGAAGCTCTGAGCTACTAAAGGCAGACTATACTGGGCTCCATTACTTTGGACCCTCAGGACGTAAAGGAGCTTGGACTCAAGGCGATTCTCAACTTCGCTAAAAGGGCGAGGCTTGTGATTTAAGTATTGTAGAGGTGCATAAGGGCCCGCTTAAGCGGCCTATGCACTGGCTCCTTATGGTGGCCGGGATGCCAAATTCAAGATTCATTCATTCATGTCTCTTCGGAAGTATTTTGAATTGAGTTGAGTTCGAAATAATTTTTACTATCTGTAAGTACCGACTTCTACAAATTGTCCTTACAGTAGAGACTTTCCTTCACACAGCATACTCGTATATCTAGCTCTTGTAAAACTAATGATATTGCACTAGTCCCAGAAGTCGACGATAAGTCGGAAACTTGGATAGGTCATTATTATCAACAGGGAAATATACAAAAAAAAAATTAAATCGTGTAAATCGTTTTGTCAAAATATGTTACAGAGATACCGGGACAATCTGCGATTTTCAGGGAAAAGTTTAGGAACTGATGAATCGATTTTTGAAAAAGATGAATCTACACAACTTACACGACTGCCGTGTAGAAAATCCAGATTTGATGAGAAAAGATAGATGACACTGTCGTTTCAAAGTAAACATGTGCACAGGGATTCTAAATGGGAGAATCATTCTACCCTTTGAACTGCTAGAGTTCTTGGATGGCGAAATATGATTGATTAAACTTTTTAAAAAATCATATACCAAATGTATTGCAATACGTGCCACTAGCAGATGGATAGGGAGGTCTGATACAATTTCGTGGCCAGCCCGTTCACCTGTCTTAAATCCACCCTGTTTTTCATACTGGGGAGCTGGTAAAGAAGTTTCCTCAAAGCCAATCGAAAATTTAGCTGAGCTACGACACAGAATAACGGAAACAACTGAATTTGTTAATAACGGAATATTCGCCGGTCTGATAAACCGATCATTTTTAAGAAGATGTCAAGCTTGAATTGTTGCTGAAGGAGGGGAGTTTGGATATTTATTGTGAATTTAATAAATACATTCTCGAATATTTGGCGGTACTATCTGATTTGCTATCACTACGTAGAATGACACTGTCCGTCACTCATGAGAAAAAATTGAAATTTGTAATAATGGGAACTAAAAGATCATCACAGACTGTAGATTTTTCTTATTCTTCCGATTTTTTTAAAGCCTAGATTTTTATATTTTACTGAAAACTATTATGAGTTGGCCTCGACTTCTGAGATACACTGTATACTAAAGTCTTAAGGCGAGCTATCGATTCCGAAAAAGTATACATCAATTCCGACCCTATTTCCAGAAATTTAGGCGCCGCGCTCCGTGTTGGAAAACTTTAAAATAAAAACCGGAAATGGCACATTCCTGTAACAATAGCGAGCTTTTAGATAAAATCTTCGTTTATGGTTAGTGTTTTCAATATGCTTCTAATACTTTGCGAGTGTATTCAGATCATCATAAAAAAGCCGTTTATAAGCCCATATCGATGTGGCATAGTAGAAACTCAACCTCCCGCCCAAAAATCCCAAAAAACAGGAATTTGAGGGAAAAGTCAGTAAACTTGTCTTTATCAAATCGGCCGCAATGTATGGCATATTAGTTTAGTTAATCCAAATGCATCTGTGTTTGAAAAGGAAAGTGCCACATTTCAGAAACCTGAGACTTGCTTACCTTACTACTCTATGTGTACAAACAATAAATTCAGGCTTAGAGTTCCATTGATGATAAGTAATGTAGTACCTCGTCTGCAACCAAATCCATTGCTGACCTTTAGTTAAGAATCTATAATAACATGAGGTGCCTTCTCCTTTTTGCATTAGCGCTTCGTGGCATTTTACTACCTGCAAAATTGCGTCCATTCAAAAAATATTATAATCAGAATATAGAGAACTATTTTAAAATTCATTTTTCAAATACAACAGATTTTTTGTTATACTCGTACATTTGTATGTACATATATCCTAAGCAGCAATGCTTACATGTGTGTGATACATTTTTTTTATGGATTACTTTCTATAGTTAAATACTTTTACACGTTTTAGGTCTACTGATAAATAGAAAGTGATTAAAATTTTAACTCGAAATTTCGCAAAATAGCGCAACGTTAATAACGTGTTGAAGCTCCTGTTCGCTAAACATTCGTTGAGTCGTCGCGGCATTGATTGGATTAGGCGGGTGGGCCTTCTTGGTGTATATCCCAGGCCAACTGAGTTTGGTTTCGTAGAGCCTCCAATGTCTGTGGAATTTTGCAACCTTCTTCCCATCATGTCCCATACATGTTCGATGGGGAAAGGTCTGGAGATCGAGGAGGCTACTGAAGCAGATTTACTCCGAACGCTTCCAAAAAGTCTAAACTAACACGTCCGGCATGAGGTCGTGCATTGTCCTGCTGAAAAAGTGGATCTTGCTATGTTTCCAAAAAGGAAAGCAGATGTGGTTGTAACTCTTCGTGGATACAGCGCTGGCCAGTCATGCTACCTCGAATGAACACTAATCGTGACCTGCTGCCGTAACATACCATAACACCCAGAGTGCGATAAATATCCTGTTCGATGGAATATTGGACCACGTCTCCTCCTTACCCTTGCACGGCCCTCATGTGTCCCCAAACAGAATCTGGACTCACCGATGAACACGACTAAGTTCCATTCCATATAATAATAATAATAGTATTTATTACCCTCATTAAACAGTGTATACAAAGTTTACAAATAATGAATATTCCATTCAAGAATCTCCCTACTCGATACCAATCGTTGCCGACGATGGTGTGGGCTCAGAGGTAGTACAAGATGGGACGGTATGAAAACAGTCCAAAATACCTTATTTGGCGATAAACTATCCTCGTTGTTATTGCCCTTACGACGGCATCAAACCACTGGTTCGCAAAAGCCTTTACAAAAAAATTACGGCTCGGGATGCCTTCAACATTTTATCAGCAAATATGTTTACTAGTTCTTGTCAAAACTCAAATAATTAATTCTGTGTATTGCATTTTATATGTCACTTAGTATAATAAGGGTTTCTGTAATAAATGTCGCCCTTTTATTTATACTGAGATACACGTTGTTTTGACTGTTCCTCAATGATTGTACTGATACCTTACCTTCTCCAGATCATCAATGTGGTAGTAGTCGTAGCCTGAGGTGCCCAAAAGTTCAAAAGGCAGATAGCCAATAATGGGAGGAGCTCTATGGTCTAAGTAGAGGAACTTCCATTCTAAACTGTGCCTTGATGTGAATTCGCTCTTCACAGTCTCTACAAGAGGTAGTTCCTTCAGCAGTTGCGGTGTCTGCAGTCTACCTGTTCCAACGAATACTAACCTACACAGTAATACATACTCTGCTGAGTTATTAAAAGATAAGTAAGGCATGATTGCTTTAACTATTAAGAGCTCTCGAGAACGAAAAGCTTTGGAAACAATACCATCTATAACGTCACGACCAACGAATTCGGACTAGATTGAACGAGCTAGCTTGCAACTTGTTTTGAATCAAAATTACGTAGTCAACCGTTAAGATGCAACTGCATATTACAAGTCGATCAGACTGAAGCCGTCAGTTTAACAGTTGTTAACAATTCGCATTAAATTCGTATTAAATTCGTATTTTTCTGCCAGAACACTTAAAAGTGTGTGATGTTCCATACAGTCCTAGTGTTCCAGACAACTGCCGAAAATTGTGAAGGTTTCTGTGGATCGTAAAAACTGTTTAAGCTGATTAAAGCAGGTCTTTTGATCGATAAATGTTGATACACTGGAGAGCATAATTATAGCTCCGCCAACAATTTTCAGTTTCCTTTAGTTGGCTCAAATGTAACTTTTTATAACTTAAAGGACTGGAGATTCTGTTTTTGTCAAATAACTAAGGTCTACCAATGTCAATATATAAAATATTATACATTTTCGGAACCAGAATTACAAACTCTATCTATGAAAAAATAAATAATATAGCTTTTAAAAGAAAAAATAAAATTGATGCTCGAGGACAAAAGGCGAAACGTCATAATGAAATTCTAATTATGCCATGTTTTAAGGAGAAAAAGTGAGACAATGTTAATGTGCAATTTATATTGTAATCCCGCTACAAATAAAGTCAAGAGAAAATTAAAACGACTTTGGGAAATTTTGATTTTTCCATCTCTCTCCTGAAGTACTTTGAATTTCGAAACTTTCTAAGCAGCATTTTGTTAGTTGCTCAAATACTCAACTTTGCTCCCATTTAAGTGACTTCGTATCTCTTACCGTTTCGGAGATCCCAATGGTGAGGTATACTTATTATAGTGCTCATCAAAAATATAAAGTTTACAAAATTACTTCCAATCTAATTTATTTAATGGATATATTGACAAAAATATAACAGGGACAATTACGATGTGATGCTCAACTAGGTATTTGCTCTTATTCAAGAATCTGCTCTTATCCCTGTAACTATTTATAAAAACCGAGTAGTTTTCAAGCAAGGTGTCGTACTATTTCTTATATCAGATATTTCGCCATGCTGTTTGATGAAGGCAATACTAAAATAAAAATATAGATACACTACAAATTTCAATTTAAGAACATTTAGGGAATATAGAGAAAGCAGACATTAACGCTAAAAGGATCATCTTCCCGAAAGAACATCTGGCAACCCTGATCAGGAGGTATGTATTATTTATTAAAAATCTTGCGAACTGGTTGAAACAAAAGTATCCCACATTATTTGAGATCGTTAGAAAACGTGTAAGTTTCATAGCTACTATGCAAGCGACAATTTACGTTGAAATAAAAAAAAATAAATGAAAAACCAAAAAAATCAACAATGCGAGGTGTTCCGAAGCGGTTACCTATCCAAATACTAAGGTCATGCTTTCACTGGCATTATTCTTGTATAACAAAGTTCGTTCGCGAACTAGTTACCAGAACTTAATCATTTTAGTGAGCGACCTGCTGAACTAGTGCACCGAATTAGCTTCTTAATGTTATAAATACTACCGCCAAATTACAACAAAATTAGGCAAAGGATATTTGAGAAATTCCTACACACTGTACCTTGAGAACGAAGAATTTGCGGAAATATGTTTATAAGAACTGTTTGTCTTGAAATTACTCAAAGAACTGTCTGTTAAATTTATGGTGCATAATTAATCAACAGCCTGTATAGGTCCAGCCTTTTTATTTATTGAACTGGTGAATTTAGCAAACTGAAATTTAACGTGAAACGAAATTGATTATACTACAGATACTATCTTTTAGCGTGAAATTAGCAGTTGAAAATATCAAGATGGCGGCTGGGCGCCGTTTTGGATTTTTTTTTTTAATAGAACGGTGAGTCGTGCTTATACCTCATTTTAAAGCTTCTTAACAGTGTGAGGTAGCGAGCAGTCAAAGTTGAGCGTCGTTCTACATAGCAACAACCAATCATCAAAAGTATGTACTATTCTGTAGAGCCTCTCCGAATATGTAATATATTACGGAACATTTCCTTTAAAAAATTATCAAACTCTGTTATTTTTTTAATTAATGTTCCATTTTTTATTGCACATTTAGATAAGGCGCTTCCAAATTAAAAACATTAATATGACATACTATAAAGCCTTGATGCTTAGTTGTTGAGTTATAAATGACTCAATCTACAAAAACCCTCAGCTTTAACAGCCTGCCGCTATTTTGAAAGATGATTGATTTTTTATCCTAAGGTTATAAAGTCGACCGAAATGAGACCCCCATTCTATTTAAAAAAAAAATTCCAAAGTAACGCCCAGCCGCCATTTTGAAATTTTCACGCTAGAACCTAGTCTCATTACACCAATTTCAGCTTGCTAACTTGACCTATTACAAAGTAAGTAGGGGAGGGGAAGGGCTTTTTAAAAAGCAGTGCACGCTTCGCTCATTCCACCCGAATCCGTTGTTCACTACCATTCCCGTTCTTCATATCATACCAAACGAAAATGCAGCGACTACATACTACTTTAGAGAAGGCAGACAACTTATTGGTCCGATTGTTGAACAGTCTTATATCAGTAGCCTGGGTAGCTACACCCTTTTACTATGAACAGTATATAGGGTATTCATTTAAAAACTTTCCACCACGTATTTATCAAAAACCACCGATTTAAAGAAAACACGACGAGACAAGTCAAAAGATTTGTCAAGGGGGATAGCTTATTAACCAAAAACTACTTCACCCCCTTTCACCCTTAGCCCCCCAGGGTCATTCCCTTAACTTTTTTAAATGACAAGTGGTATCGAGTAATAGCTTGTTTGAAAGGTATTTCGGAGTCCTTTATTTTGACGTTTGATTTTTTGAAATCAGATGATTCGTTTTCGAGAAAATTAGAAAAATCTTTATTTATCTGAATTTGTCCGGATAAAAAACAAAACACACCAAAATGCCACTTTTTATTTCAATAACTTTTCAAAATATTGCCCGCTAGGGTTTGCCAAATCTACAATTCGTTTATAATTTAAAATGGAAACTACCAACATAAACAGCAATTCGGAAGATTAAACGTGGCAACAACCAAAAAACAACCCGAATTTCTTTCCGTATTATTTTCATCAATACAGATATCGTGGGCGAACTGTATTTATTGTTATATCTGTTCAGTTACTTATTGCTAAGGGAAAGAAAGAAAGTAATTGGCTGTCATTTATCTTTGTGACAATCATGGAATGGTGAATATTAATTTATTGATTCAGATTTTACAATGGTTTATACACTAGCCGAAAAAGTGGAAATAATTCTAATTTATGGTTTCCAAGATCAATGTGCTCCGCAAACTGCCGTCACGTTTAACGCAAGACATCCGGGGAAGATAACTTCGCATAGGTAGGATTTGAACCTTGTTACTAAATTTAATCAAACTGGATCTGTTGCAAATAAAAAACGTGATCATCGGAGAATTTTGGATGAGGCCGCTCAAGTTGGAGCTTTGGGTCATTTTGGAATAAATCCTAATACTTCATTACGCAAAATCGTTGCTGCGACTGGTATTTCATTACGCCCTGTACACACAGTTACTAAACTCCATAAATTGCATCCATTCAAAATGAAAATATTGCAAGAGTTAACAGAGGATGATCTCGATAGGTGAGTTGAGTTTTATGAACAAATGACTGGAGCAATTAATGATAATACCATTCGTATATAGAATATCTACTTCAGTGATGAATGCACATTTTATCTAAATGGATTTGTTAATAAGCATAACTGCAGATTTTTGTGTAATGAAAATCCTCATGCTTTTGTAGAAAGGCATACCCAGTACCCCCAGCGGACTAATGTATGAGCAGGCATTGTTTATTAATGGAAATTTGAATGGAGACATTTATTTGGATATTTTGGAAAATACCATAATTCGCTTATCACTGAAATCATTGAAAACCGAATTGAAGAGGATATAGGAAACCCTATACTGATGAGGTTGAAATATACAGGGTGGTCCATAAGTCCTTTGAAATTTCAAATTTGAATAAAATTTAACGGGTGAGCGTGAGCGGCGCGGGCGAGGTGGGGGCAGTATCTTCAGTGTCTGGGAATTTAATCGCCATGGAGTGTTTCACTGGAGCGGATCGTGCTTTTTGTGTGCGCGCGTTTTATCAAAATAATGATTCGGCAACCATTGCGCGGCGTAAATATCGAGAATACCACAATTTACACAATTTTACAAAGTGTCCAACAGCTCAAACGATTAAGAACTGGGTTGCTAAGTTCGAAGAGACTGGTTCGACGTTAGATAAACAGCGGTGGGGTCGACCAAGGACAACTCGTATTGAAGAAAACATCAACATTGTGGCACAGTCTGTTCGTTAAAATCCTACCCAGTCTACTCGTAAGCGTTCCAGTGCACTAAACATACCCAGAACATCTTTACAGCGGATTTTAAGGAAGGATTTACCTCTGCGCGCTTACAAAATTCAGTTAGTGCAGGAATTAAAAGATAATGACGCTATTCAGAGACTAAACTTTGCGAATGAAATGTTGAATCGATTTTCTTCGCTCAATAATGTGTTGTTCTCGGACGAGGCTCACTTCCATTTAAACGGGCATGTAAATAAACAAAATTGCCGTTATTGGAGCCCCGAAAATCCAAGGCGTAAGCATCAGAAGCCCTTACACAGCCCTAAAGTTACAGTTTGGGCTGCTATGTCAGCGCATGGCATCGTAGGCCCTTATTTTTTTGAGGACGACAGAGGTCGCGCATTAACTGTTACTTCGGAGCGGTATGTAGCAATGATAGAAGAGTTTTTGACACCAGCGTTGCAGAGTTTTCCAGGCTATAATACGCAGACCTGGTTTCAACAGGACGGAGCAACTGCCCACACCTCCAACTCTTCTATGCCTGTCGTCTGTCAACTTTTTCCCAGCAAAGTAATTTCTCAAAGAGGAGACATTTCCTGGCCACCACGTAGTCCAGATTTGACCCCAATGGACTTCTTTTTATGGGACTACCTCAAGAGTAAAGTGTAAGACACCACTCCGCGATCAGTTGATGTCCTGAAAGAAAATATCCGAAGAGAAATGGCAAGCATTACAGTGTTGACTTGCCGCGCAGTCATCGACAATTTTAGACGTCGTTTATATGCGTGCCGTGATCGTAATGGATTGCATTTAGACGATGTGATTTTTAAAACATAATTCCCATTCAATAAAGATGATAACAAAATATAATAATTCTTCATAATGTAACTAGTTTGGTTTTATTCCTTTTCGAAAGACCTTTCAAACAAGCTTTTACTCGATAACCCTTGTCATTTAAAATTTTTAAGGGGATGACCCTTGGGGGCAAAGGGTGAAAGAAAGGGAAGTATTTTTTGGTTAAAAAGTTGTTCCCTTCGACAAATCTTTTGACGTGTCTCGGTGTTTTTTCTTTCAATCGTTGGTTTTCGATAAATCCTTGGTGGGGAGTTTTCAAATGAACACCCTGCATGTGCCTTGTATATAATGATGAGGGGGTTAGATGGTGTGAAAGATGCCTCTAGTTCCAAATTTTTACGCAACTACACCCGCCCTTACTTCGAATACTTGAACGCGAAAAGTAAAACGGCAGAAATGTGGAATTCGCTACCAAAGCGTATCGCTTTCGGGATTGACAATACAGCTCACACAAAAACAACAAAATTGTTGGCTCATTCCAAATCATGAGCCTAAACGTCACATAATTATACTAGTCAATCAATATTGAGACCTTTTAAGGAGAATTTTATGTTTCTACGTTTCTAAATTCTTTACATTCACACGAGCTTACTTTGAACGTCTTTCTGTCTTCACGTTAAAACTTCTACTTCTATAGAGCGATAAGTTGGAAAATGTAGATGAAACGTTGCTAGAAAGGAAAAGTATTATTTGTTTCAATGTGAGACGCTTATTGTATTTTTATAACGATTATTTTGGAATACCTAAAAGCATGATATTATATAACATGAATTTTTCAAATGTATTTCCTATGGATATATTTGACATGTTCATGCTATTGGCAGATGAAAAGAATCGCTGAAAAAGTGAATACAGGATGGTTCAAAATCTTTACCATGAACATAATTAGGATCAATACAACGAAACAAAACATATAAAAACTGGCTCCCTGTCGATTTATCGGAAAATTGAGTATGGTATATTTCTCGCTTTTCCAAACAAAAGTTCTAAAGGAACCAAATCAACCCAAGTTTGACTGATTTGCAAAAATGGTGAGTGTGTCAATTGTAGTCCTCAGGTCAAATAATCAGAAAATTGTTATATTCAAGTATTTTATTGGGAGGTTTCATATTGATCTTGGTATGACTCTTACAAGATCAACTCAAGATTTTTATACGTTAAACCTGGCACGAGTTGTTCGAAAATTCAAAAAAGATCACTCAAGAGGACAGATCGCTTTACAAGCTATTCGATTATGATCTTTACAAGGTCAATTCAAGGTCATGTTAATATTGAAGGCGAAAGAGATAGAAAAAGCTTTAGAGTATTGCAATTTATTGACTACTAATTAAGGTTTTTTTTCTTTTGGTCTGCTTTCGGCATATTGGACGGTTTCAAAAAATAATTATACCTATATAACTCCAATCTTGTGAAGAGCATATAAAAAAACCACATGTGCTAAAGGTTAGGACGATAGACTTGCATCTGGAATAACGACCATTGATTATTGCTTGATCATCAGGTAAATCCTCATTGTTTCCACTTGTCGATAAGATATGCCTAGTCAGTACGTGCTGCACTAAAATGGTTTTATCGGGGAAGTTGGATATCGACTTTATTTGCACGTTCACCATTTTTTGTAAATTAGCGAACGCATTCCCCAATTACTCAGAAACGGATCATAGGATTGCTTTTGCTCAGGAAGTCGAGGAATGTATCATACTAAGTTTCTAGACAAATCGACTGAACCTATTTTCCGTATGATTTGTGCGGGGTCCTTTCACTATACTACTCTTCTTTTTTTTAAGAAAAACTAAGCTCCTACAAGTTTCATGTTTCTTTTGATGCGCCATGTATATACAAAAGGCAATTCATATTCACCTAGTATCTGCTTCTCCTGAATATCCACTATATCTATTTTCACCTTGTACCATGTCTTCGTCAGTCCCTAGAACGAAAGAAAATCTATGAGCTCTCTAAGTTTTGCTGAAAATAATTTTGGGAGCATTTTTATACTGAAGCACCAAAATAGAAAAGTTTAGCGAACACATAGCGTATTTTGTGTTATACTCTGTTCCATTTTGGTACTTGAGACATATAGCTCAAGACTGATGTAGTTTTAAAATTACAGAAATTATAAATTACATCATCAAGAAACGAGAAATGAGAAAAGGAATCCGGCTCTGACTACAAAGTATCAGTAATCATGAGTCCCAATTATTGATTTAACGAGACGATGTCGAATAAAGTTATAATGGAAAATTAAAGAAAACATGAATGTAATTCTACCAATGTAATGAGTACGACATGTGAACTTACGTAGCAGTGGTAATTAAAGTTTAAAGATAACCACCAAGTTCATCATAAAAAATGTATTGGATGCAACGTTAGTACGGTAAAAAAATGTTGAAGAGCAATTTAAGAACTCCAGCTATAATGGTAAAATCGCCATCCAAACACCTAGTACCAAGCACGCCAAATTGAAAATTGAAGACTTTTATACATTTATCAGCCTGCCTTTAAAGTTTCCTCATTACACCGTCTAGCAGTAAACAAAATAATTAGTGTTTTTTCTCTGTGACTAAGCAACTGCTCGAGTAGCGAAGATGTTTGTTATCGTCATAGTGTATATTGATTATTGTATTATTTACATATAAACTGCAGTCAGAAACATTTGATATCAAAAACTTATCTGACAAATCAGTCTACGCAGTATTAATCAGCATGCGCACTTTGAAAAATGACCCCAACATGGCAATACGATTGAAGATAATTGAAGAGCTTTATTTTGGCAACTTAACACATTTAAAAGCACCGAACTGTACCATATTTCCATATCATCGGACGATAATAATATACCCCTGATCTTTTGGTAGCAAAAATCCGCCACCAATCTTCTTGACCCTGAGAATATAGGTGAACAGTAAGCGCATACAAAGCCGCTTTCCAGTACCTTATTTGTGAATAACGAAAATGACAATGTGTCAAGATTGTTAGACTATGTTTTTTCATCGTTTTTGTTTTTTTTTGCATTGAACTCACATTAAACCATACCTGACAAAGGAGGATGGTAAAAAATCACGATACAGCTGTCCATGATTGACTGTCTTTGGTCTGACAGACGAAAGCGGAGAATGTCTAATTTATTAAATAATTAACTTCGTCTTTAGAGATGAGGTTGATGGTCGATGGTGAGACTTCCGCACTTATTCTCCTGCTATCGATCAAGAGAACAATCCGGAGAGCAACTTTTCTATCAAGAAAAAAATACATAGTTTCTCAAGAGATAAGAGAATAGATAATATGACTGTTGCTTATTAGTCTCTCTATTTCCCCCCTTTACAAAAATTGACCTCCAGGAAAATGACTACCCTCTCCTTCATAGGACAACTAACGTTCGGCATTTCATGCAACTTGCACGAAGCACTGAGCCCCAATAGCTGTCAAAGATATGAAATAGAATAGAGAGAACACTCAATCTAAAAGAATATCAAACTCCAGGACAGCAGAGCTCCTAAGCATGAAAAAACTAAGAAGAGCAGAAGAGGACTTAGTTATTTTTACTGGCCACGGGTTATTCATTTATTTGTGCAAGTTGCGGAGAAGCAGAAGAAAGTGAAACGACAGAAACACTATCTAGTTCGGAAATCAAAAGAAGATAGGGAGGCATAGAATTTAAGATTGCCAAGTTAATTTGAAATCTTCGCTTAATGGTTGAGGCAGAATAAAACTTATAGACCAGCTGCGACAATTCTGCACAGCTGGGGTGTCTGTAATTTTCAGACACATTTGGTTTTTAATATCTAGTGAATTAGCTGGTAGCGTTTTCTTTACTCATTGTTAAAGTGTTTCGGGAAATCGTACATGTTATGCCGTTCCTGCTCAAATGTCATGCTTAAAGGCTGTATCGTCAGTCGTTCCTACAGTTGTAGGACGCCTTTATGGCCTCCTTGATTTTATCTTTATGCAAAGAAAATAGTTGTCAAGACTGTGAATAGCTGTTTCTGGACATTTTGTGAACAAAATTCAGAGGTTCAAACTTCGAACGCATTTTTCTGTTTCAGGCTAACTACAGATACCCGATCTGTGCTTACCACCATAGTTGTTTGCAACTAAAAAAAATATTCTTCAATTCAATTCCTAAATTGCAGTCTGATTGTCCACATGTAATGTACCCTTCTACCAATAGATGTTTTTGTACAATAAAAGCTGGTTCTGCATTGAACCATACTTAGAATACATGATATCATATATTCACGAGATTCGATTTAATCAAACCAGTAAATGTATTACGTAAATGATAATTTGCACATGTGGTAGCATGTATACCATGAATAATGCACGATGTTATATAGCAAGGCAAAACACAGAGTACCGCACGTATAAACGATTATTAATACCCTATAAATGCTCGTGTTATGATGCTGATGTGATTTTGACTCTGATTTGGATTCTGATAGAGGCTGAGTGTATACACTATGGATAGTAAGGTCACTGAATAAAACAGTTGTACCTAATATAAGTAATTTATAATAGTACTAATAGCAGGTAAGGTAACGCATCCATCAGTTTATAAAGCATCACAAGTGTGTTCAGCACAAGCTAGGACCTTCTGAGAAAAGAGTTAAATACGAACATGTATAACAGAGAAATTCAACGGATCAAGTCAGTCAAACAGGCCCACACAATTAGTCCATGGACATTCTTTCCCTGCCCTATCCGGTAGTTCATCTGGCAACGTCGCGTTTATCCGATACCTAACGTCAGACGCGGCACCGTGGCGATAAGGCCAGAGCACTTACCAGGACCGGCACGCCCGCCGGTGATCTCAGACAGCAGAAGCAGTGACACGTATCGAGAGCATTTCTCTATTATTCTATTTTAAGGGCAAATGTACGGGGAAATCTATGATGTATGAAATATGTCTAAGGGATGAGTAAAAGTGCCGAGGTTGGGAGCGTATAAATACACTAAAGTCAGAAAAATTCGATATGGTTTATCTTACAATCAATTGTACATGGTGAGCTTTGGTGAAAGCTAAACTCTTATCGAACTTATTAATATACTGTGTAAGTGCATATTAAAATTAATACTTACTAAAATATCCAACAAAGCTGACAAGCTCGTAAGTAGGATGTCTATTTTTTTCGGCGGGTCCACTTCTCCGAAAGTGGCAGGAAAACGAGACCTGCTTTTCATCGTCGGACGGAGTAAGCAGCACGTTGTACAAATCGGATCGCTCTTCTTCGCTCACCAACTCGTATATTGTCGTGTTGAGCAAATCACTCTACAAGTAAAAAAATTGCGTCAAGTTTGTTGACTCTGCACTTCCTACCCAATGCCGTCATCAGTTCATGATAAATTGAGTTACGGACCTGTACAACGGAGAAAATTAAACGTCAGTCAAACAGGCCCATACAATTAGTCCATAGGCACTCTTTCCCTGCCCTACTGGTAGTTTAACGACCATGTGGCAACGTTGTCGCTTTAAACATCCGCGCGGCATCTCTGCAGCGAGTTATCTTTCGTTTCGTGCAAGGTCCGTATATGTTTGCGCTTCAGTACGGATACATAAATAAGGTGGACTGGTTCGCCAAGTCCCGCTTAGAAAGGCGGGACTACGCGGATCGAAAACGTTGGGTTTTGAAGGAAAATGTACGGGTAAATCTATGATGTATGAAATTTGGATAATAGGTGCATATAATTACTTGGGAACGTATAAATATATTAAGATCAAAAAGATTTCACATACCATCCCTCACCCCCTACAACCCCAACCTCCAAATTTCGACCCCACAAAAATTTTTCTGAAAATGATCAGGACCCTCTAAAACGTTTGAGCGGTTTTTATTTTTCTCATTTTTGGCCTGGACCGATTTCCAAAAACTAATAAGCTTTTGCGTGCTTGGCATAGTGGCATTGCGATCTGGAAGTGTCTCCTCTGTTCTAATGACAATACCGACCGTCTGGCAATGTAGCTAAGCCCCTAATTTTTAAGTAGAAATAAAACAACAAAACAAAGAAATATTAAAAAGCCATTGCATTGGAGAACAATAGACGCACAGGGGGACAACGAGTCAAAAACATATACTGGATAACAGTTATGCATTCATATTAGGATTAGCTAAATCACATACACATAATCTGTATAGACTTTATACGAGGGTGAATCAAATATAAACGAGACTTTTTTTTAATTTATTATTATTTTAAACGCAAAACAGAATATATTGGGTTGTCGGAAAAGTCATGACGTATATGCAACAAAGTATGCAATTGCATGGTTGGAAGTACGTGAGTCAATGACATTTGTATGTTGATTGTGTAGTTTGACAGTTGACACTTCAAGCTTCATTTGCACCAAAAAATTAAGTGATTTATTTGAGTCTCGTCGATTTTAGAGGACGTTGAAGATGGACGACCAAACTGTGCATTTTCGTCACATTTTGCTGTATTACTTCCGCAAAGGCAAGAACGCAAGACAGGCGTGTGAAAAGTTGAGAAAAGTTTATGGAGAACATGCACTACAAGATCGGCAATGCCAGAGATGGTTTAAAAAATTCCGAGATGGGGATTTTGATATCCATGACGCACCTCGATCAGGGCGGCCTACTGAGTTGGATAGTGACGAATTAAAGGCATTGGTAGAGGCAAACCTACATTACACCACACGGGAAATTGCAGATACCTTAAAAATCCATCATTCAACCGTACACGACCATTTGAAGAAACTGGGATACGTAAGCAAACTCGATCGTTGGGTACCACACGAACTGAGAGAGGTTCATTTGACGGCGCGTGTAGACATCTGCGATATGCTCCTTAAACGTGAGGAAAACGATCCTTTCTTAAAGCGCTTGATAACGGGAGATGAAAAGTGGATTGTTTACAACAATGTGGTTCGCAAACGGTCTTGGTCCCGAAGTGTAGATACGCGTAACACGATCGCGAAAGCAGAGAGTCATCAGGAAAAGGTGATGCTCTCTGTTTGGTGGGATTTTAAAGGGATCGTGTTTTTCGAACTCCTGCCAAACCATCGATACAACTGTGTATTGTCGGCAATTGGACAGTTTGCAACAATCCATCATGCAAAAACGTCCGGAGCTCATTAATCGCAAAGGAGTTGTGTTCCACCATGACAACGCGAGACCGCACACAAGTTTGCTCACTCGTCAAAAGTTATTGGAGTTAGGATGGGATGTGTTACCACATCCAGCATACTCGCCTGATCTTGCCCCATCTGATTTTCATTTGTTTCGGTCGCTTCAAAATTCCTTGCGAGAAATACGCTTTACTTCAGATGAAGCTGTACATCAGCACCTTGTTCAATTTTTTGCCGGTAAAGACAAATCCTTCTACGAGCGAGGAATTATGAAGCTGCCTGAAAGATGGCGAAAGGTCATCGATCAAAATGGGCAATACATTATTGATTGAAGTTTGTGCTGTATATGAATAAAATGGCCTTAAAATAAACAAAAAAAAGCGTCATGACTTTTCCGACAACCATAGTTTATTTTTCTACATAATCTCCCGATTTGCAAACACATTTTTCCCAGAGGATAGGCAGCTTGTCACAGGGTGACAGGTCGGAACTGTAAGGATAGTGTTCCAATGTTTCCCACCACAGTTGCTCCAATTTTTCCCTAGTCAAGGCGAGCATTGTCATGGAGAAGAACCACTTCCCTGATCGATAGGTTTCGTCTTTTGCGGCGATATGCAAGTCGGGTCTCACTCAAAACGTCGCAGTAGTAGGCCGCATTAATTGTCCTGAGCTCGTGACAAAAAATCGAGATACAGCAATCCACGTTGGTCAAAAAAAACGGTAGCCAAAACCTTGCCAGTCGACAAACCTGACTTGGCTTTCACTGGTCCGGGTTCTCCTTGTTTTCTCCACTCCATACTCGCTTGTTTTGACTCTGAGGTGTAGTGGCGCACCCATGTTTCATCACAGGTGATAATGTGAGTGAGAAATTGGTCTCATTGTTCCTGAAATCGTGCAAGAAGACGCCCACACACCTGAAGACGATGCAATTTCTAGTCAGCTGTGAGAAGGCGAGCAACCCACATGGCGCATACCTTACGGTACCCTAGCTCCTCTGTGAGTATGGAGTAAGTGCTCCCATAACTTATCCTGACCTCACTTGCAATTTCGAAAGTGGTACGACGTCTGTCATTTTTAATATTCCGTCGAACAATGCTGATGTTGTTCGCTGAAATGCTGGTGCGAGGTCTGCGGTCAAGGCTCTCATTTTCAACAGGATCATTTCCGTCCGCTAACTGTTTATGCCTTGCAAATACTCTCCTCAATATTTCGGCCTGTTTTACGCCTTCTGCGGCGAGAAACTTGATTACAATAAGTTGCGCAATTGACGGTGGTACCTCTTGCTCCGACATCGTCACGGTGGACACTGAGCGGGTCGAGGAGGCGAGCCCACATGCTTCCCCTACTCCCGACAAACCTACCCAACAATAAACATAGCGGGAACGTTCTCCCTCCACTATTGTGCCTGAAGGTCGAAAAATCTCGTTTATATTTGATTCACCCTCGTATCATGTCAGTCTGATGATGCTTGATGAGTAAAGTGAAACGCGTCTCTCCATCTTCTTTGCATTTCTATTTTGAAATTACATTACTCAACCGTGCCATGATATTTGTCAGTCTACGCATTGATGATGAATTACAACTGTCACCTGAAGGGCAGATAAACAAAAATAGACTGTCATTAATTGCCATTGTACTTAAGAAAATCCACCGCGGTGGTCGTAACGTCATTGAGAATGTAACGTTCATTTTAAAAAAATTAGGGTCTGTCCCTAATGACAATATCCTTACTTATGTAGATTAAGATGGAAAAGTACCTCGCCAAGAGCAAAATATACAATGTGCATTTAAATGGAAATAAGATTTCGTTTTGCAAATATACGGAATAGTATAAATACCGAAATAGGCTAGATATTTGGGACTGATCTTGACCCAAAACATTTGACTGTGTAATTTAAGATGAACATATGGAATTTATAAAGGCCTAAAAACGAGATCGAGCGGGTTAGTGAAATGTATTTCAGCAACATTTTTCAAAAGCTGTTTCGGTCAGTGAGTATGAATTTCAAATGTCAAGTCTGCCTGTGATTATTACGAAAGCGACATGGTGTATTCTAGTCTAGACATTATACTTATATTATGTAAAACTGATTTATGTAAGCATGGTTGTATTATATGAAAATGGATGGTATAAATATCATAATAAGCTGGAAAATAGCATAATGGTTTAGTAAGCTGATAGATATAATCCGTAAATTGATCTACGAGGGAACTTCTCGTAAATACTGTTTCAATTTTAGGAATATTATGGAACTGCTGGTGGGTCAGGTCTGGCGACTGTGGTCGGTAAGCTGTAGGGTAGCTATAGCGATGCAAGAGGTACTTGTAGAAACATTATCCTGATGAAGCATCTGTTAGCTTCCTCAACGTTTCTCTTTGGAAGCATATGGCAATTGTTAGATTAAGTTTGCATCATAGATCTCTGTAATACTACGTGTCCACCTTTTACAAGATGACTTAAAATCTCAACTGCAGTGTATTATGAGGAACTGGCTTGCCTCCAACAGTCATCACAGTATTCTGATGAATTTCAGTTGGCGCCATACCCTTTTTTGAAGACATTTTATTACTGCTCTTTGCTTAACTGGATTCATTTTTATTGGAAGCTTTGTCACACGCTCACCAAAAAGTACAACAGTGCCGCATAGAGTAAGCAGTTTTAATATTATCTCTTTCCAACCCCTCTTTAAGTAGCTTTTTAATAACTGTGAAACTGTGCTGTGTAACTATTCGCAAGGCATATGAATTCAGATTTCTAGTCGATGCTACATGGCTAGTTGTCACTCATATTTTTTCTCATTTAAATGATTAGTACTTCCTTTCGTCTTCTTTAGCTCCTGAACCCTTTTTGTACAGCGCACTTCCTTGTCTTTCTTATCTTTCCTCCGATATCCCAACATAAGATAGAGAGTTAGATCTTAAATGCTAGTTTTAAAATAAGCATCCATACTTACCGGTAGATGACCTAAAAGTGAAGCAATACTTTCGGAAGCGTAATAAATATGACCAGATGTGGAGAATACCATAATAAATCCATCGACGGCTTCTAAAACTAAATGCGTAAATTCTTCGTTCGTTAAGAAAGTCGGTTTCCAGTCTTCTTGTATTTCATTTATTCGAGATCGCACCGTAATCTCTGAAAAAATAATAAAGCAAATGTATTTAAAAGGGCTACCGATACTCCACGGAACAACAGGGGAGAATAACAAAAAAAATGTTTGTCTTCAGCACACATTGATGAACAAAACGTCCCACGATACCATAAACATCAGTTGGTAGCATGTTATACTTCGTCAGGTTATCTTTTGGATCATTTAACCCGATGGCTTTTAACACAACTTTCTGCCGAACCAGAAGTCATCTAAAAATGACTTCATTTGACATGGGATTTAAAAATAACTATTGTATATTCACAGGTAATTTTTAACATGGATTAATCACTTGAATTGTTTTATTTTTTGACATGGAATAAGTTAAATAGATCAATGCGATTTCAACTATAATTCTGTTTTGATAAAAACTAGTGTACCTAATGTTTAAACCCAACAAACGGTAGCATACTGAACACCGCATAACGTACGTCCTGAAACTTTTGGCAGAAAATTCGTTGGCTTTAATTTTAACAAACACAAAATAATATCAAGTTGCCTTTGGGAACAAAATTTTGTTTACTTGCTTCACTGTCAGTTGACATTTATTCATTTTGAAGTTTTCGCTTTTAGATGTCGTATAAGTTAGAAATAAAAAATCTTGAAGTTGGTTGGACAGGTACCTAAAACTGAAATCTGTCGAACATTTTCGGGCTGTTGAGCCGTGGTCGGGTTGGATTTGGTCTAGAGCTTTCGGCTATATTTGCGGTAGCCATCTTTAGTGGCGCTGTCGGCGAGAGCGATGTGCTCGGCTTGGCGGGTCAACAGAAACTGATCGGTTAACTGGATGAGCGTGCGGCTTTATAGGCGATCGGCGGACTGAGGACTGAATTGTCTGGTGGGGGTACTTTGGGCCTCTTGAGTGACGTGGCTTTTATGCTGTGTTTTTTAGAATTGGGAACCACGTTTTGTTTAAAGCAATGCCTTCTTCTTTTCTATTGAAATTATCATTGTGTTTGTAGATCTCAATTGCTTCTCTGTACATTCGGGCTGAGTAGTGGGTGGATGTTGATTGGACTTCAGTTTGGTCGAACAGATCATTGTGGCCATCTTGGAGTGCGTGTTTGGCCACCTCTGATTTATCAGATTGTCCCAGTCGACAGTTTCTTTCATGCTCCTTGATGCGTGTTTGGAAGCTACGTTTAGTGGTGCCTACGTATACTTTACCACAGGAACACGGTATTCTGGGCCCAGGACACATCGAATTTAAACCTTAATACCTGCAGGGGGAACTGTATCATGTTAACAAGGTAATATATGTTAACGATCTTTAGCATCTTTCGTTTGCTCCTAAGTTGGCTGACCAAGAGAATGTGCATTTCTATTCCCTTGTTACGCAATACTTTCGCAAAATTTCTTTTGGCCGAAGGTCGAATCTGTATTTTTGGGCCAAAGTGAGTGGCGAATCTTCGGTCAGAGTCTATTTATTTTAGCATGACAGCTGGAGGATGCCAACGCAGTACCGAATCATCCCACTGCACAATCTCATACACCCCTAGTAAGTAGGGGAACCCAATATGGGATTTTGGGACTTACTCTAGCACGGCAGATTAACATCTTGCATCATGTAGAGTACCTCCGCAATATATAAGTCCTCTATACAGAAATAAAATCGACCATTGGACATACTCGAGCATGTCAGATGAAGATAAGGTGTGTGAATTACATGCTGAAAAGTGTATTGTCGTGATGTGACGATTTGAGTGTGACGTGAGGAGTGGGCCAATGAAAAACTTGTAAAAGACGTCGCCTTGACATTCCCGAGCACGGTCAATTTTTTTTAAATATGTAGAAAAAATAACGTAATGATTTTCAGAAACCGAAATATAATACATTCATCAATACAGTTTAGTGCGTGCAGCTGGAGTAGAGCCTGTATACGCCTCTCTGCGGCTCTATACTTCTTGATAAATTCGATTTCTACTAGTTTGTCGGATTTTTCATCCATTTGCCAAATAAATAAAAATAACAATACCATTACATTTGAAGCTTTTGAAAAAATCCGGATTACCGACAGTTTTCTTTGTGAGCGCCGCCAAGAGAATGAAAAACGAAATAAACTAACAAAACTCAACACAAGCTCGCGTAAGTGAAACCAACACCATGAAAATCCATTAAACAAATCAGAAGCGACGCTTGAACCCTTCCTCCTCCTATGAAAAAATAATATTAACAAAAAAGGTTACAAAACACGAATTCCTTTCTGGAAAAACGCATTTCTAGTTCTGAAGTTCTAGCAATTTATCTTGCCCACTTTTGTTATAAAATTTTTTGACCGGTATATATATATATATATCTGACGCGTTGTAGTATTTCTATCGAACTATTTTATTTTTGCACTTTCGACAACCTGTAGACGCTCCCCTTACCACTAAAAGGGTCATACATCCTTTAATCTTTTCTTTCTGCAATCTAAAATGCAAAACCCAATAGGTCCCTACGACGCTCGAGTAACTCCAGATTCAGTCTCCTACTATATACGAGGTCTGTAAATTAAGTGATGAGACTAGCCACGTAACGTTCGATCTGGTTTGACGGAGAGACAGGGGACCATGTGATCCGCCTTCAGTACAAGCTTGCACTCGCTCGGGTCATTTGGTTGACCGTGGCGTTTTTTTTTAGTGAAACAGTTTTTTCTATTGTATTCTAAAAATGAGTGACCTTAATTTCAATCAGCGAGTTTTTGACCAGTAAAACCATTCCTGTGTCGCCTCAGCTACCAACTTCAAATCGTTCTACTTTGAAAATACGATGATTTTAGTGAAGAAAACAGTAATCATATCTGATCATACACATGTTTTGTTCTTACTCAATCCCATCAATGATTCGGAAATTTACCACAACCCGTATCTTGGTAATGGGACATTTTGCGACCCTTTTTTATAAACTTTCTAGAAATTCAATTCAACATTTTTCTGAAGCACACTGTATATTTCGATGCTCTCCCTTGTCGTCCCTTGGTGTATGCTATCTTAATAGTTAGGACATAACAAGATAGAAAATACCATGTTTGTATCAACCGTTAGATGGATATAACTTCACTATTAGCACAAAGTTGTTATATCATGCATTCTAAAATTCTATCATTCTAAGAATTAGAACATTAGTATTGTCATCTAAGCTGGATTAACAATCGATGCTTCAATTGAAAGGTTAATTAGTAGTGGAGATGGAAATAATCTTCCAGAATCTAAATAATAATCGATATTCATGAGCAAGTTTGTCGGCCCTGAAAATAACTCAAATTTCAAATTGATCGCATACAAGAATTTTTTGCATTCAAATATTTCAGAACATGTGCATTTTAAAATTCCATCAAAATTACTCGTTTTATTACCTACTATTACTACTTGATTGTTCTTTAAAAGCCCAAAATTCGCAATTTTATATGTTCTGTCTTAAAATTTACCCGCTTTGTAATACTCAACTATAGTATTTTTATTTGACCGCATGGTCTCAGCACATCCTAATTCAAATCTTGTTCAGTCCACACTGAATTTTTGTGCTGAACCCCCTGTATAGACCGCACGAGAATCGTATTGCCAGAACCCTCTAGCTACATTGTTCTTCGCATACCTCCTCTAACCTGGGTGTTTCGCAAAAACGCAACTTCGATAAAACCCACGAAGGTTTTTCCCCTTAATACCACCATTGGACACACGCTTTACCTGTCGCTCTATTTGTATATAGAACCCACAAGTGAGACAAAATCTTGCGCCGGAACCTAGAATCAAGAAAAGGAGATCGTATCTCTGAGGTAAGGCTTTAGCCATTTTTTGTTCCGCATCCACTGGCGAGAATGGTATTTTAATCGCGAAAGTAATTTTTTTTACTAAAAAAAATTGCATGTATTTCTGAGTATTTTTATATAATTAAATATTTTCCCATACTTATTTTGACTGTACTACTCATTTAAAAAACATGCGTTCTTTCTGACGGACCCTGTATATCAATACACTTCCAACGCCGATAATTCTACGCGCCTATTAGACATATTTCTTCTCAGTAGGTAGCGGACCGCCCGATAGGGGCTATATTACCTATTTATTAGAGCGTTGTGCTTTGGGGTGGTTAAAGAGGTAATACATACAATAAAAATACTACTCGTAGATGCAGGTAGTACGTCAAGTCAAGCATTTGTTTGCAACGCCTACTTAAAAAACAAAAAAAATTAGAAAAACGCATTTTTCTTATACCTAACCAATTTGAATAAAAAAAAAATGCTAAAAGCTCCATTATTTTTTATATATCCTAAAATAAGGTGAGAAAAAATAAAAACGATTTTGCCAAATTTTAGTTTTTCCCAAATACCTCAGTGAGCCATGAAATTTGTACAAGTTTCTCAACGGCTTGTAAATACGCCACAAATAACGCAGCTTTTTCCTAATTTAGCTTGCCTATGTATAGTAACCTAATCTGGGACACCTTGTACGTATCAAGAGCTATTATAATCAGTGATCAAGCAATGTTGATAATCAGTTACACACTAGAGCTTCAAAGAAATAAGGCTACCGTGTACGGATAAGCTGACTGCTGCAATCTAAGGAAACTTTTTTCATTAAAATCTCATATAGTGCACTAATGTTTCAACGTACGTCTTTTTTATGTCATTGCAATACATTAAAGATGTTTTTTCAAAGGAGTGGGAAGTATGGAGTCAAGCTACTTGACGTCATTTTTTTTCGTTTACTATTGACGATATGTGCTCTAAGACATAAAAGGTATATAAAAATGAAAATGCGCCCCTGAGCTGACAATAAAAACAAAAGCTGAAGTCTCATTATAATTATGTATTCAGTTGTTTCAAATTTGTTTTTATATTTAGGGCAGTGATGGCACATTCATCACTACGTATTGTGTCTGAGTGTGAGTAGTACAGGTATAGGAATACTAGACCTCCGATTTTGGTCCAGAACGTGTAGTGGTCTAGTATTCCTATAACTTTTAGAACATCTATAGGAATACTAGACCACCTAAGGTGGTCGAGAACGTGTAGTGGTCTAGTATTCCTATAAGTCTTAGAACATCTATAGGGATACTAGACCACCTAATGTGGTCCAGAACGTGTAGTGGTCCAGAAATCCTATAACTTTTACTACAGCTATAGGAATACTAGACCACCTAAAATAGCATGTAAAATTGTAAAACAACCCACACACAACAAGCACCCCATCCCTCACTCGCGCGCATGTGCATGGGGCTCGTTCTGGTTGGTGCTGACGCGGGCGTACTACGGGGGGTGTTGATAGCGTTTATGGCGTTCGTGGTAGGTGTTGGGATAGGTGATGCGCGGGTAAGTTTGCGTTGTGTACTTTGGAGTATAGTGACGGGGGGGGGGTTAAGAATAAGCGATACGCTGTAAGAGGAGTTTATCTATCTTTATTTTTTTTTCTCATAGTTACATGTTGTTTTGTATTTAATTGTTCTATATAATAATTTCCCGTTGTTATAATGTACCTCTACAGTCATGTTTCTTACTCCAAAGTACACAACGCAAACTTACCCGCGCATCACCTACCCCAACACCTACCACGAACGCCACAAACGCTATCTACACCCCCCGTAGTACGCCCGCGTCAGCACCAACCAGAACGAGCCCCATGCACATGCGCATGCGCGAGAGAGGGATGGGGTGCTTGTTGTGTGTGGGTTGTTTTACAATTTTACATGCTATTTTAGGTCGTCTAGTATTCCTATAGCTGTAGTAAAAGTTATAGGATTTCTGGAACACTACACGTTCTGGACCACATTAGGTGGTCTAGTATTCCTATAGATGTTCTAAGACTTATAGGAATACTAGACCACTACACGTTCTCGACCACCTTAGGTGGTCTAGTATTCCTATAGATGTTCTAAAAGTTATAGGAATACTAGACCACTACACGTTCTGGACCAAAATCGGTGGTCTAGTATTCCTATAGCTGTAATACTAGTGTGCTTTATTATAGATTTGATGTAGGAAATTTTGGGACCATGCGCTAACATTTAGAAGAATAGTAAGGTAAGTATTCGAAAGAGGGTGAACTTTAATCAAAATCCAAAAAACTTTTAAAGAACAGTACAAACATGAAAAAAATGTCATGCGACTTAACTTGAAAATTGAGCCAGTTTCAGGGCCAAAAATCGCACTTACGGATGTTGATCCTTTCGTTGTTTGTAAATCTTACCATTATGGTTTTTTAAGAACGATATGGTGGACTTGAGTACGGTTGACTTGTCCATTTTCCTGCCACCTGTAGAAACCATTGTGTTCAACTCGTTAACTAAAAGGTTGAATTGATCCCTACGTTTCTTTTCGCTCAAATTTCTAGATTTCCTGCAAAAGAACAAAATACAAATATTCCCTCAGATAGTAGTTACAGTAAATGATAATGTTCGAAAGTTAATTAGTATATAACTTAGCAAAGCCAGTACATTTGTACCGTATAATTATGCTCAAAATGGGTCGGAGATGATTGTCGCATTTTCAAAAATGTCATATTTTGCTACAAAAACATTTTCAGAAATGAGTGCGACTCAAAAACGCATGGCAATAGCCAATGAAGCAAGTTGGAATTGTTCGTTCAATGAAATATCTGTAGACATTACATTACGATCTGGACATCAAATGGAAAGCTGAATTTGGAGAGGTACTGTAGGATAAATTTGAGAAGGCGCTCTAAATAAAAAATGCGGCGATTTTAAGTAGAAAAAATAATTATACTACTGTATTGTAAGTGAAGTTTGGGTAATTCTGTGAAGTTCCCCATACGCTCCAGTCCTAGTACCCTCCAACTATCGTCTATTTTTATCATTACAAGGTTTTCTCTATGATAATAAAAAAAGCGAAGGGGATATCCAACAAGCACGGGAAATATTTTTCGTACCTAGAGATAAAACCTTTTATAAAAATTAAATATCCAGAAAACTATCACGTTGGCAAGATGCCATAAATGATGATAGACCTTACGTTATTCATTACTGTTTATCTAAGCTATAAAGCTTTATTTTGGTTTGACCTAAAAACGGACAGAACTCTCAGATAGACCTAATATATTGGAAACATTGGACATTAGAGATTCTATTAAACCTGTAGGCTATAAATACCAGATAGACCAAGTCAGCTACATAAAAGTTACAAAATAATCTATATAAACAAAGAACTTATTTACAATTGTATAATATTGTAGAAGAGACTCACCGTTTTGAGTCTTTGTCGTCGGAGTCATCGTCCATGGTATCACTGAAAAGAAAAAAATCCTAGGTAATACTCTAATTGTTAATGAAGCTTTATTCTTATCATATTTTTTTCTGTAGATCGTTACATGTAAATAGTACTGAAAATCGAACCATTTCCATTTGCTGTAATGAATATGAGAAACTAATATCGCAGCTGCTATGAGCAGCTTAAAGAAACTTTGTGATCCAATTTTTCAACTGCCTTCACCATCTCGATACCATAGTGACAAAGGAGCGGTCGAATCGGCCAATTCTGGATGTAGGAATTCCGACACGGTTAGGATGGGAGGCCGAAGTCAGACGAGTCCGTCTGGCAGGCACATCGTGCGGCAGCATTATGGAGGAGAGCTCTGAGGAGCAAGTCCCATTGACGTAGCTAGATTGCTAACGACCCGCCAATGCAAAAGGGTCCCGGAACTGTCGGTTGGAGAAGATCAGTGGAACAGCCCACCTCATGTGGAGAAAAGTACTACAACTAAGTGCGAGAAAATGTGTACTAATATCAACTGTCTCCTTTGCAAGAGTCAATAGAGCTTTTCAAAGCTTTCGCTGAAGGCTCTACAGCAGATATTGCACAGATGATAGCGTAATATGGAAATGCGTAATTCCGACAGGTTTTTGCTGTTCCCGTCTTAGCATAAGCTAATCTTCTAAATGTCTTCCAGTATTTGTAAATTTTCGTTTCCATTCGTGAGAAGACTATACGCTTATCCATATTATATGCTACCCCAAATAGCTTTTAGGTATATACATGGTAAGCTAGCCTCTATTGTATGTTTAATTATTCTTCTGATCAGTCTGCCTATCCCATAATCGATAGTTAGACGTGGAAGTCCTGTACATCTGATACCACTCTTAAGACATTCCTTTATAGTGTGTTAGTACAATAGTCTGTAATATGCTGATAACTTCATGCTTGCTTGTCGCTTTTCTGAGGCTGGTCATTCCTTTGGGAGCGGGAATGCCTGCCCCAGATGATTTTGGGCGGTGCTGTCTTAAAGTTGCAATAATGGCTTTGGCGATGCATGTTACAGGACGGTTCAAACTATTGCAGTAACATACTGTATCGTAATGTCAAAAAGGGAAAAGAAACAAAATGTCACCTGGAAAACAGTAACAAACATAACGTAACATATCTATTTCAATTGTAATTGAAAAAGACCACCGTGGTGGACGAAACGTCGTACCTTAAACTCAAACCTAAGGGGCTTCGTACACAAGGCTACGCAAGTCTCCGATACTAATGTTGTATACTGCATTAGTATCCAGTCGCGAGTATCGAGTAGCGCACGGTCCGTACACACGACATTGAATCGCAAGACGCGAATTGCCTATTCAGCCACTATAGGCTAAACAGATCACACTTTTACGAAAATGTCTGAAACAAGTGATGATGAAACTATAATTTTGTACTATTTTTATCGGAAACAAAGAAATCTTCGTAACAGAAGATACTGGGTTCATCCGTATATAGAGAGAAACATAAAGTGCAGACTGTTTGTAGCTGCAAAAGAATTACAACAAACAGATGCGAAATTCTTGTCATTGTACAGGATGTCCAAAGAGAGTTATACACATTTAGTGGAGTTACTTGTTCCACATATACACCAGAGAGATACACACATGAGAGAGTGTGTGAGCGCAGAGGAAAGGATTCTAATAACAATCAGGTATGATTTCAATTTGTTTTATTAAATATTAACATTTCAAAGTAAGATTGAATTTTAATAATATATAACGGAACGGAACCCCTCAGAAGTCTGCACGAAATCTTAACTGCGTCATCAATTCTGAGTATAATTTACTTCACCTACAGTATTTTGGAGTAGTTGAATATATGTCGGTTGTATATTCGATTATATCATTATTGGTTTCTATTGGTAATTCTACGTCAGTTGTTACCTGCGAGGACGATTTACTTGGGTGTTGTATTTCGGGTCCTACAAACGGAGATGTCTGCGAAGATAATATACTTGAAGTATTTGGTATATGAACTAAGGCCGGCGCCGGCGTTTGCTTAGATGAAGTGGTAGGTACATTCAGTATGTTATCTATCACATCTATAACTTGACGTTTGAATGATCTTATTTGTGTGGATGTCATAGAATTTAAGTCTGGCAGCAAACTTAACAAAAACATCTTGTTGGCGTTATTCTTTGTCGACTCGTCATTGACATTTGGCTTGCTCATTTTCGTTTTCAAATATTCATTGAAGAGTTCATCATTCTCATTCGTTCTATTCTTATGACGCTGAGAGGAACTACGCCAAGTTGAGATAGATAACGGGGTTGGAGTACGTTCAGTTTGTTGACTGGAGGATGCAGTAGGTGATGTCGGGGGCGGTGGTGAAGCCGAGGGCGATGGTGATACGGAGGGCGGTGGTGATACCGAGGGCGGTGGTGATGCGGTCGGTGTAGATGCTTGTGATTCATTGTCTGGATTAATCGGATTAGGCAAACTGCCAGATGGAATTGCAGCAGATTTTATATAAGGAAGAGCAAACTGCATTGAATCTGTCAAATAGTATTTCTTTTTTGTTGATGATCCACTAGCAGCAGGTTTTAAGTTTCGTACGAATACAGAACGGAGGTTTTTCCATTTGTCTTTCGCTTGCAGTCCTGAAAGTAATAAAAATATGTCAAGCAACTGTTAACATTAAGTTCACCGTTGTAATACTATGTACAAGATGTTAAATAAATAAGTATTAATACAACTTTTTTTAGGTATTTGGCAACTGGCGCAACATTCACATCGATTTCCTTATATTTTGCTCGAGGAGACTCTACAGTATCAAGAATAATTGGAGAAATAACAGCAATCATATGGGATGCCTTGAAAGATATTTATATGCCAACACCGGATAAAAATCAATGGAAAATAATAGCACAACGTTTTCATTTACTATGGAATTTGCCTAATTGTTTGGGTGCTCTAGATGGAAAGCACATAAGAATAGAAAAGCTACCAAACTCAGGATCGCTTAACTTCAACTACAAGTCGTATCATTCAATTGTTCTCATGGCATGCAGTGACGCTGATGGCCTCTTTACATACATCGAAACAGGATTTGCTGGCAGGAACAGTGATGGTGGTATATTTCGTGCTTCAGCAATCAAACATTTCATTGAAGGGGACAATCTTGATCTTCCTACTCCTTTACGATTACCCAATGATGACAACAACTACAAGTTTCCATTTTACTTTGTCGGAGATGAAGCGTTTCCGCTATTGCATTATTTGCTACGGCCATATCCACAAAGAGTACTTGATAATACGAAAAGAATATTTAACTATAGATTGAGTAGAGGAAGGAAGACTGTAGAATGCGCTTTTGGGATGATGACGGAAAAATTTCAGGTTCTAAGCACTGCGATAAGATGCCACGACAATATAAAGATTAATAATATTGTAAAATCAGTATGTATTTTACACAACTATGTTAGGAAAAGAGAAGGGCTTCCATATCGTGCGTATGAAGAAAATTCCAATAGTACACATGGTATAATACAACCTCAGCAAATTCAATTGAATGCGCAATCTTCTCCAAATACGTTAAGAAACTATTTAGCTAACTACTTTCTTAAACCTCAGGTAGCACTCCCATGGCAATATAATTGTATTGTATAAATTTTGTTAGTCTGTTTAAATAACAAAATTCTGTAAATGCAAATAAATATTTTACTGGACCACACACCATTAAGTACTGTAGCAAGTTCTATTTTCTAATTTTAACTATTAATTTAACATCAGATATTTCCTGTGTTCTGTTTATGGTTTAGTGGATACGGATATCTGGTACAATTCTAGTTAGTAGCTAATCATGATCCTAGATCACAATAACATGGGTAATCCGGCTATCATAATAAAATGTACACAAAATATCGTGTATATGCGTAAAAAAATCTTAATAAAAAACATACTGCCAAATGTGTTTTTTCTTTACTAAATTACTATGTTTAATACTATAAAAATCTACCAACCTGTTAAATTAACGGCCCTTCCTACTGATACCCACGCTTTTTCTGTAATATCCTTTCTAGAATATTCTTTTATTTTATAGTTGTATAAACAGGGATACTTCTCCACCTCCGAAGCAAATTTAATATTTAATAACTGCTCCGCCATCCTGGAAATCGCTGCGAATTATGTAGCGAAGATCTTGTCCGGCAGGTAGCACACGACTGGCACGATGCGAGTCGCGAGACGAATGTCGGCGACGCGACTCGTGTACGAACCTCAATGGATTTGTATGGCGGTAATCGCTTGGAGACTAAAATCGTTGAGTATCGAAGATTTGCGTAGCCTTGTGTACGAAGCCCCTAAACGGCTATGTGGTTTTGATTAGGTCAGACAATGTAGTTATATGAACATCAAAACCACAGGACAAGTTTCAGGAGTTACATTAACCAGAGGAAGTACATTTTTCAGTCAAATAAATAATGATACTGAAAAAAAAACATGGTAAATAATTAATCAGTTCATTCACATAGAACTCTAGACTTGTTGGATACCGAATGGTCAGTGCCACTAAACACTTTATCACTGGCGAATGAGATATTATGTTTTTTGAATGTTATTCGAGTATGACATGTACCATCACGATAAACCTTGTCACTCATTTCCGTTCTCTGTCTGTCGGTTCGTCAACTCGCTAATCCTTGTTCCGTCTATAACTTGGAAAATACAGCTCGGATTTTGATGGAATTTACACAAGATATAACTACTATATCAAGAGCGAAAAATCTTTGTAGTTTTTAGTATTCATAAATAAAAAAAAGGCTCAACCATCGTCTTTTAACATTTCAGAAGCTCCTGGTCAATTTCAGGAAATCTTTGTAGGGGTTGAAATGCGGGGTGGGGATTTTAGGGAGTATCTGATTTTGTTTTTGGTAGCAGTGTATTTATACGCTTTCAGCCCCGGTAGTTTTACGCACCTATTGGTACATATTTCACACATTATAGACTTCCCAGTATTGCCCTCCAAACTTATATATATATATATAT